ATTTTTAATATATGAAATTTATTAAACTTTAAGCCTTTAACTAGTATATTAATTCTATTATTATAACTAAAATCTATTATTTCCTTACTAAAATATAAGAATAAAATATAATAGATATTTATTATATTTTTTTATTATAATTTTAAATAAAAATAAAAGAAATACTAGAATCTACTATTTCTTTACTAAAATATAGAAGTAAAATATAATAGAAACTTACTATATTTTCCTATTATAGTTTAAAATAAAAATAAAAGAAATAAGTTATATTTTAGAAGTTTATTAGATTAATAAGAATTTATATATTTAATAAAATTAAATCCGGTCTAGAATTAATTCTTTTTAGTATATAGTTATACTAAAATATAAAATAAACTATTATATTAATTAAATTATCTTATATATCTTTTTAAAATTTATAAATATTCTATTATATATATATATATATATTTCTTTATTATATTTCCCTTTAATATTAAGGAATAAATATACTAAAAAGTAGCTTGAAATTCGTAAATATAAATATATTTATAACTGCTTTTAATATATTTCTATTACTATTATATTTATTCTCTTATTTTAAGATTATTCTAACCTTAGTATAAAACTAATATTTATAGTTTAATAAATCTCTCTAATAATATTAAAATCCTTAAACTAATATATTTATTATATTTAATTACTACTTTAACTCCCTTATATAATAATTCAAATAGCTAATATTCTAAAGAAATTCTAATATGAAATTCTAATTTTCTCAATTATAAATATTTTTAATAATAACTGCTTTATTATAAGTAGCTATCTAATATAAAATATTAAAATAAGAAGCTAGATTCTAGTAATAGAATAAACTTTACTAAGAACTTAAAAAAGGTTATTAAAAGTCGAATATTAAAAGAGAAAAGCTATTATAAAAAGAATTTCAAGATATTAGAAAATATCTAAAAGAAATAGAAAGTTATTAGCTAAAATAGCTTAATAATAGCCTAATATATAGTAAGAGAAATATAAAATTAAATAATATATTATCTAATTTATTAGAAGCTATAAAACTCTCTAAATCTATATTTATATAGAAATTAGGTATTCTATTATTAGATAAAGAAACTAATTCTTCTTTTCCCGAAACTAAAAGCAAATTTATAATAGAACCAGGTTATTATTAAATATTCTAAAGCAGGAAAATAAAAGAATTTATATCTTATTAAAAAGAAGTATTTATAAATAAGAAGCTAGCCGGAAAAGTTTATTATTAAATAGATAAAATAAACTAAAACTAAGATTATTAGAGAAAAGTTAAAAGTTAAGATTCTAATCTAGATAATTATAGAAAAGAGCAAATCGGAATAATTATAGCAAGTACTAATAATATAAAAAGAGGCTAAGAAAGAAAACTAAAATTTAATTAATTAATAATAATAGCTTTATACTAGAAAGCAAATAAATTAGAATATATATAATTAATATATTTATTAAAGAAAGAAATATTATTACTATTATAAATAAAATAGAAAATAATATTAATAAAGTACTTAATCTAATAAGTAGTATAATAAGTATATTTTTAAGTTTAAATACTATAAATATAAATTAGAATAGCTAGCTATTACTAGATTTATAATAGCTAGAGACTTAAGCTAATATAGTTTATAGGAACTTGAACTTAACTCTAAAGTAGAATTTAGCTAAAGCTGAGATTAGAATTAATTTAAGAAATTATTCTTAAATAGATATACTTACTAATTATTATTATTTTAATTTAGTAATATTTATATTAAAAAGAAAATAGTATTTAAAAATATAAAAAAAGAAAAGATTAAGGTAAGGTAAGGAGATTTTTTTATTTTTATAAAGCAGATATATAAAATATTTAAATTCGCCTATTTATTTATATAATTTATATTTAATATACTAAATAAAGGAAATATAAATAAAGGAAATATATTTGGAACTTATTATAAATTATTATATTACTTTAAATAAACTAAATTAGAAAAGTACTTTTACTTTTTAATATAAATACCTTAAAGTAAAAATATAATAACTTTATTTACTATATTTTAAGCCTATAATAAATAAAGGTATTATATTTCATATTATAAGTTCTATACTTTAAAGATAATAAAGAAGTATTATATAGTAAATTACTATATTAAATAGTATAAAAGGCTCTTAATTATTATTTAAATATTAGAGGTTATATTTATTAGCTAATATTATAATTTAATTACAAATTAGGAAATAATCTATTATATTAAAATAAGAACTTTCTAGTAAATTACTCTAGTTATAAAATTATAGAATCTGGAGTAAGCAGGATTAATAATTTAAAATAATTAAAACCTAATACCTCTGGTTCTGCCAGTAGTTAAGAGGAAATATATATTACTGCAAGCCTATAAGATCCTAATTTTTTTTAGACTAATTGTAATATAACCAAATTTGTCTGGAAACAACAATAATAATAACAATACTATTTAGAGAATATAATATATGCATTAGTATACTAATATATATTAATCTGCATATATTAGTATATATAAAGTAATATATACAGGAACCTGCTACTGCCTACTAATTTCGGTTAGTGTGGCCCCCAATCGACACCCGGGAGGAGGTCGTTTTACATTTTCCCCTATTTGAGGATAGTAACCCCGGATAATCCAAACAGTGCTGCTCTTGTAATTCGTTCGGGACCACCTATCAAGTTCCGCGGAACCTGATACCCGACTATTAATAATCTCATTAACAACATCAAAACAAGAGTCTCTCCCGACAAGTAATACACCATATAATTCAAAGCATTTGAGATTATTACAAAGATTAAGGAGAGTATTAACAATAGCCCTAAAGAGATATTTGTTTATATTTAAAAGTTCAAGTCCTACTTGACTTTAACTTCCGAGAAGGACTTCCTAATAAATTATGCGGAAACCAGCAAAGATATTACGGAAATTTGTACTAAACACGATAATAAAGGTATAGTAATCAAGCATATTACCGCTTAATGGAATACCTGAAACAGCAGAGCTCTTGTCCAATACTTGACAAAAGATCTTAAGCTTACAGGAAATGAGTTCTTAGTATACCTTGGCAAGATCTCTGAGAACCAGACCATTAAGCAAGCTATTAAAAACGTTAATCGGGGACTCTTGGAAAGAAATAAATGCAAGGTTAGTGCAAGGGGAAATTCGAAAACCAAATCCCTAATACTAGCTAATATTAAACAAGCATATGACTTTGTGAACAATAACAAGAACTAGCTTGTGGGTACTCCTCTTAGCCTATTAGATCTAGAAAGATACAGATCTTTGAAGTTAAGGTCAGCTCTGCTTAGCTTACTCAAGGTTAATGACCTCGAAGTTCCTCCCTAACTATTTTGTACTTTAAATCCTGTGCTAATTCGACTATCGAGATCTCACTGCCTCTATTAAGTAGGAAGGTCTTGGAAAGTTTATGTAGACAGCTTTACGGTCTGCCCTATATTTGGGTAGTAGACAAAAAATCTGAAATGAATTATTAATATGGAATTCGAAATGTACTACCGAAATCTTGAAGTATTTAATATCTGTAGTATGGCTACCAACCTCTGTAATTTTGTTTAAGCAAAGACTACATATACACTAACTAGTCTGTTATATTTAACTATCGAGATTCTGCCTATAGCTTGCAACAAAAAATTCGAAATCCTTTTACGTAATTCATTATCTCGGTAGATGCCGAAGAACAAAATGGGTGATTTTCGTTATTATTCACATAACCTCGGAAGTAGCAAATATCAACTTTATATTAAATTGCCAGGTATCTGGGACCCCATCTCATTATGGACTACTATCTCTCAAGAGAAAATAAAATGTACCGGAATTATGACAAGAAGTGCTTGATACAGATAAACTCTTATTGCAAACAAGCCATACAAGCTTCGAGAGAATACCTAGCCATACCCGGAGACTTAAATAGTCCGGAAGCCAGCAGGGGTTCCCTCTAATCCGAGCCAAGTAGGGACTAAATTAACCATCTATACATAAAGTCCAGAATTGCAGTAAAACATAGCTAGCTTTTGGAAGACACTCGAGCAAGCCATTACTACAGGAAAATATTATATACAAGAACCTTAATCTATTAATAGAGTTGCCCTGGCACCTGGATTATTACATACCAGATGCAAAGAAGGTTTTCCAGACTAAGCAGGCTTTAGCATGGTTCAAACACCATTTTGACCACAAAGCTAGCAGTATCTCGGCTAATCTTGCCCTGCATGTAATATGTATAGATATATCTCTAGGATACTAGAGCAGTTTGATTTTGCAGCCATATTATTAGTCAGCATGATAGTAGTCACAAGCCAAGCATATTAACACCAAATAGTATAAGATTAAATGGTCCTAGTACAAAGCTCAGACATGCAGTATGAATTACCCTCTAGTAACTCTTGTTATAAAAGGTCAGAATGCTTGAGCTGCATTCCCATTCTGTGCCATTATGCTAATTTGTTACAACCACTTCTCCATATTCATTTGAGTTATTTAATACAATGGCTTGTCAGGCTCTTATTCCTGTGGCAGTGCCTTGAATAAAGAATCCAGGAGGGCAGCTATATATGTCTTATCCTCTCCAGGGAACAAGCAATGATTAGAAGAGCTACTGCATAGCAAGACATTAATTATTGCTAGAGACATTTAATCAAAATCCGATTTTGAGACTAAAGTTTAGGGAAAGAAATATAATTATGCCTTTCCTAATTACACTTTCCTGTCTTCTCAAATTTCTCTTATCTTGTTGGTTTAGTCCTACATGATTAGTACTTACCTTGTGCTTGCTGTTATGATTGCTCAAAAGCTCAAGTTGTGAATAACTGGCCCCAAGGTCATTTGCTGTTGAAAATGGCCACTTAATGGTACCGTGGACATACCACTTGCCCACACGGTATCGGCACCTACGAAAAAGTTGAGGTCTAATCAGACATAGGCAAAGTAGGAATGATTTCTAGATTCTGTATGCCTGTTGCTGACTTTGTCTCTCAGAAATTTGAGTACTTCCATATTCCTATTAGCAAATGTTTTTGCCATATCCTAACTGCTATAAACCCTGACAGCAGCCATACCTTGTGTACTATTACTGTAAGCACTGTTTGTAGTTCTACCTAATAGAGCTGACTGGTTCTTTTAGAAGAAATTCGCCTACTATGGAATGCTTCTGGAACATGTTTAATTCATGCATAAATGGGAGTTTAATCTAATCTAAAAGGCAAAGGAGACAAAGGCAGAGAAGATAGACATTGTAAGTACTGCAACTGCTTTATTTTAGAGCTAACCTGAGACTCTTTTGCATAAGAAGGACAAGCTTTCCCTTATAGAATCAGCTTTTGCTGAGCAGAAGTGACTGGTTCAGATTACTGAGCAAAGTGGTATCCAGCCAGTAAGTGGTCATCTACTTCCTAGTTACGCTTCCTGTTTATCGGATTTCAGGTCAATACAGTTGATTCTCTAAAGAGGATAAGCTTGAATCTACTTGTTTTATTATTTTTTGTTGCTTCCTCAAGCCTGAAGTAGACAGACACGGTTGGGGAAACTCTCCAGAACTATAAACAACTATTAAGACTTTGTTTTTTAAGCTACTTGTATTCTTCTGGTCTTCCGATTTGCTTTTACTGAATTAATGCAGTACCAAAAGAAAGTCCAGAAAGTAAAACCACCTGAGAAGACCGGGCCTGGCCAAGCAAAAGTAAGTGTCCAGGGTAACATTGTCCCCTCAAATCTCACCTATCTTAGCATACCAATCCACCTGGGCTTGGCTCGGCTCTAACAGCACTATGCCTAGATGCAGCAGGTGACTTGGTCTCAGAGAACACAAGTAACTTGGATAATACGAAGGGCAAAGCTCCTAAAAATGCTCCAGTTACTTCAAACCCCTCCGAAAAATACAATAATGCCTCCTTAGTCAAACTTATTGCTCTCCATTTGTTCTACATGCCAGAATTCCATTAGTTCAATTCGAGACATCCCGATAGCATCCCATAGCTCTGCCTTTCAGACACATGGCTTTGCAATATCTACCTTCCCGGCAGGGCCAAGAAGTTCCAAAACGATAATAAGTGGCTAAATTATTACCTTGACTCTGGATACAAAGAGGAAATCATCTCTCGGATAACAGAGCTATATGGAAACCTGCCAGATTACCTCAGAGTGAGAAACTGGACTGCCACAATGGCTCTGGAACCTATATTTACTGCCAAATAGAACTGTCTTTGCATTAATCTTGCCAAATACCACTAATACCACAAATATCTCTTTGAACTTGACAAAGAATACAAATAACATCGGTACAAGTTAATGAAATCGGGAAGCATGGCTGGTACTAACCCGAACTCCACCCATTACCTGCAAAAAGTCTATGAGAAAGTATATCACATGCAAAATGCCCAAACCGAATGCCAGACTTTACTTTCAGGTACTATTCTGGAAACAGTAATTACCACAGAGATCGACTGCCTGCTATCGGATTTTACTAAACGAAACTGTCCGGAATTAGCTTTTCCTGGACAAGGCTGGCTGGTATATTTACCTGCAATTAACTATATTAAGAAGACTCTTGGTTTCGAGCCCTGATATATTTGCAAAGAGAAAATTATATATTCATTTACTAACTGCAGCAAAATCAACCCCTTATTCTCGGCAATTTCCCCATACCTGTTCTTTACTAAGGACATGCCAATTTTGAAAAGCATGCCTTCTTCTACCCTATTAGAAGGCCTTGCCTCTAGCTTGACAAAGCAGGTATCCATGGTATGTCATGAGATCAATATAGAGCAGTTCAAGTCCAATCTTCAAGGCTTTTTAAACATTAAGAAACAACTTCCATACCTAATTAGAGCAGTTAACCCCTGAGCCAATGCAAAAGGAATTAAAGCCTTGTGCCTTTAATTACACAACAAGTCAGATCTGTTACATAATAATCTCTTCCATATCCACAAGCTATTTAATAAGTTAAAGAAAGAGAAGTTTAAAACAAGCAATTTTGGAGAGGCAGAGCATATATGGTTGAGACTGATGGCAATTATAGCAATCTGCTTTGGGTGCACTTCCGAGCCTGCATTTTTCCTTACCACAATGGACTGACTTCTCCTGTAATTTTGTGCTACTATTAGTAAGTCTAATATACTACTAGCCTCTGTTAACCTATCTGAGTAATATTTTGTTCAGGTTACAACTCAAGCATTTTTGAAGACACTATCTTAAATAACGCTATGAAGCAAATTATTAAAAGGTCTAATAAATCGAGAGCCAGTTTTGTCACATGTTCTCAGGAACTAGTGGCCGAATCGGATCTTGCCTTGAGATATCGATACCAAATTTCACTAACTAAGCTTATACTCTTTATTTGTGGTAGTGTTATTCAGGCAGCTTTAATCACCTGGCATGTCTTCAGACTTTCTTCACTTAATGAAATTTTAAGAGCAAGATATGGAGGACTTTCCAAGTGAAATATAACATGTGCTATTTGTGGCAATTCACTTATTTTGCCAGAGGGGCCAGTGCCTCCTCAATGCTTCTTAATCGGAGCAAAGGACATTAGAATTAGGAATTTTCTAGCAAGATCAGACATGTCAAGGAATCGGGGTGTTGTATATAATTATCTTATTGATTTTATTAACAGTAATTATTTCAGTCATATCTTTGGCAACTTTTTTATGTATTTCACTGAGCTTTACTATCCTGCATGTAAGCAGCACTGGGAAAAGAGAGTATTAATATAATCTGCGAATTGTTATATGCCCTGAGATTTTCTTGGGCTAGCTAGCTATCCAATCCACTATCTGGTAATCCCTAATCCCAAACTTTTGAAGTCCCATGTCTTCTTAGAATCTTCTGCACAATTTTCCCCTGCAAGCCTTGTAGGAAGAGTCTGTATAGTACACACTAGCAAACTAGTATAGCACACAACATAATACAAGCTGGGAGTCTTGATCTCGGAGCCAAGTGACCAAGTATGGGAAGATCTCCTTTCGGTTTATTGAGATGAAAGACCTAGCTCTTGGCATTCCGGATCTCGAGTCATTTATTCTAATGGAGATTAATTCGCGAAGCATGTCTTCTTCAAGAAATCGAGGATCTGGAAGTAGACAGAGGCAGTTCGGGTTAGAGTAGCAAGGATTTAATAAGAAAGCCATAGCATATCATCTCTGGAGAATAGACAGTAAAGGAGATAGTCGATTTGCTTTGGTTAAAGGACTTCTCCAGTGAAATCTTAACATAATGCTATGCACAGCAACCGAATAAGTAAATAAGGTCAGCTCACAGAGGAGTTCATCTTGGACCCGGACCTTACAGAAGCCTTTGGCATATTTGCCTGCATCCTGCTGCCTAATAGTTTGAGATATCTCATCCAAAACGCTGTCCAATGCTATGAACCAGAGGACCGCTTCTATAGATCTATCTTTAATAGTAGCAAGGGTTATTAACAGCTTTGTTGTTAATGTTTGAGCCTCCTGCTCTGCGATTAAATACCTTTGGAACAGTATCTGTAATAGCTATTGGTAGTGCCACTAGTTGTCATCTTGATCCTTGCAGGACCACATGTTCAAACTGCCGGGATTGATCTCGGATATTGCTGGTCAAGAAGTGCAAGCACTTATTCTCAAGCAAATAGCTTCATATTCCTCCTATTCCTTTATTATTTGTGATGCCACTATCTTCTTGAGATAATCGACAGCTTCTGCAAGTGTCGTCCTACGATCAGGGGAGGAAGAAGGTTCCGATTCGGTAAATGAGAGCTTGCGGGCATTCGAGAACGATCGGCTGGGCTGTGTCATCTCTTTGTCGGCATCTGGACCTGTACCCAGAAAAGACATTACGAGCGGACTTGGTTCCCAAGACACCATTCCAAACCGCGGTGGGGGATATCCAAGGAGAGCACCGGTGATTGGTTCTCTCCAATCACCGTAAACCATCGGCTGCACTGGAAGATTTGAATGCACCCGTTGTGCAAGCAAGGCATACAACCTCCCATATTCTTGGCCTTGGTAATTGACTTCTGAATCCTCTCTGTCACATCTGTCATCGGCCTTTTCACTGTCACCATCACTGCCACTCTCAAAACCCTCTTGATTTTGCTGATCTCCTTCTGCACCTCTCCGTTTGTTTTTCTGTTTCCTTGGCTGGCAGTTTTCGTATTTTCTTTCAACTGACTCCATGTCGGAAGGTTTCAAAGCTGGCGACTGGCCCAACACCATGCCGGCGGGAAGCCACGATTTGAGGCTCTCCGTTACCTCTCTCGTGATCGTTTTCGTCAAGGATGAATTCTTTCGCTCTTTCTTGAGATATTGAAATACCGTCTTGCTTGCTGGGAGATCCCTTAATGACAATCGATCCATGGCCTTGGAGAGGTGAAAATCGTCTTTCAATTCGATTAGCTCATCTCGGGTTAAGCGGAGTAGATCGACAACGCATTTGGGCGGTGTTGTAGCTGCTCGTAAGGACATTGCAGCTTTAAGATAGCCATCGCCGTGCTCGACCTCTGTGAGAGAAACACCTTCCTTGAGAAACTCCGTGAGTGTGATCATGACTTTTTCCAGTATTCGAGGTGTCATGGCATTGACTCTCTCCAGAATCTTTCCCCTCGTGTCCACCATGTCGAAAGTGTAGCTCCCCGGTAGTTGTATTCCATCAATCCAGAGTGGGTCGAAGAGGCGACTTGTCGACCAATGAAGTTCTGGTTGAAGCCACTCCTTCACCATGATTCCTTGAATAGTCTGATCATAGCACGCTGCTCTGACAAGGCTGTGCATCCAGCCACTGATTGGGTTTGAGTCTGGTGGTGTGGGGTTTTTTCTGTAAGCAGTTCTGATACCTCGCTGGAGGTCTCGTAACTCGGTCCGGGATAGCAGGTTGATTGGTCGAGGTTGGTGGGAATGAATATTTTCGAGTGGAAGCGTCTCGATTTCGCGCCACGAGAGGTCTACAGGCTGATCCCAGCGGTCGAGAAATCTCTGAATAGTGCTAGCTGGAGCGTGACTACCGAAGGTGGTATCAAAACGAGCTTCCATTTCCGCGGACATGAGGCCTTCATTCTTCCAATTCAGAAGCTGGATCTTGAAAGGTTCGAGGTTTCTTTTATTGCCTTTGATTTTGGATCCACCGATAACTGCCTCGTCCCTAAATCCCCATTCTCGTTGTCATGCAACAACCGCATTTCTGGAAAACTGGATCTTGTGCGTGTCGAAAAGGTGCATACTGATCTCGTTTGGGCTGAGACCGGCTTCCGTCATTAGGCGTATCTCCTCCTTGAATGGCTCCAGATTCCTCCTGACTGGCCCATTCTTCCGTACCCTTGGGGCAGTCCCTGCCGAATCCATTGGTGCCGGTGTGAAGTTGATTTTCCGAAACTTTGCAAGTGGAACTACTGGTACTGAAAATGGGGGAGGATAGTTAGGCATTTATATTCTGTGAACTGCTAATAGGTCTTGAGATCTTCCATTCTCTTGGCTTATGCGCTGTTTAGGCCGAGTTATGTCACGATAGTTCTCGAGCTCTCAGAATCTATCCATTAAGTTCTATTATTTGAAAGCAGCTGCATCCCTCCAAAGCATTATCAAAAATCGACAAGAGAATTATATAAGAAATGTTTACTGAGGAACCACAGAAAAGAATATGTTTTTAGTTACTATTCTCCCCTGATAGTCTCCTTACCGCTATACTAGAAACCTCGGATATATTTCTCATACACTAGTCGGTACAGACAACTTGCTCTTAATAAACGCTTTTTTTATTACGAGTATTTGAAACCCCTTGAAAACTTCAAATCCCAGTGCTACTTGAATGAAGAAACTTAGTGTTAATTACGAAGAAGTCCTTGAACGGTGTCTAGGAACGTAGGGGCAGTGTTGAGATTCACAAGATTGATCAACAAGATTCCGAGTTCTTTGGTTCGAAGCTACAAACAGTAATTGATCCTCCAAACACTAGAAATAACGAGAAAACATAAATCTTCTTCACTCTAACCCAACCAGGCCTTCCGACTCTTCCCACCCCCCTAAACAAAATCGAGTTATGAAACTTCCCAAAGATAAACTATAGAATGTGAAGTTCTAGATCGTTGATGTTTATAATATTAAAATCCGGTGGTCTTAGTGATTAGGAGGACAAGTTGGCGGATTTAATTTTAATTTTGCCTACAAAGGTATCCCTTCATCCGCTGAGAACTGTCTAGCACTCGCAAGGTGGGTGTGGCTGCACGCAAGCCTTTTGAAGCAAGGTGAGGCTTGCGTGTAGCTACACCCACCTTGCGAGTGCTAGATAGTTCTCAGCAGAGGCTTCCACAGCTGCCTCTTGCAGAATCTGAAGCTGATTTTGCTAGCTATAATAAATAAAGCCTTAATATATTAGTGCGACAAGAACATGCTAGACAGGGCAAGAACATGCGAGATACTAATTAAGTGTAAATAGCTTATTTTAAATATATAAACAGAATTCCGAAAATACATTTTGTGAATTATTTTTTACTTTTCGTGTTTTATAAGAGATAAGATACTGATTCCCAGCACGCCTACCAGGCTGAAGACTAGCTGAGTCATCAATTACGGAAATATACCGCGATTCCGCATCGAAAAAGCTAGTTATCTCGGGAAGCCACATGGTCTAAAATAAGATTTTTTTTTGAAACCACACATCACAATTGATGGGTGCTGAGGTTGTATAGTGTAGCGGTTAGCACGGTACGCTCTCTACAACCAACAACATCATTGAATTTGGCCTCTAATGCAAAATTAGTGGGATTTTGATATTTACATCAAGATCATTTCCCGAATCCGTGAGTGAAGCCTGAATGATTCTATTCAGAAAGAACAGTTCAACTGACTTTCCAAAGCCGGTTCGAGCCCGGGTACGACCTGAACGATATTCTACGATTTTTTTATAAAAAAAAATGCCGAATTTTTCGTGGAGGTGGAGGCATTTGGCAGCAGAGTGTGCGCTCACAAGTTTTTTAGGATGTGATTTATCTTTAGCGAGATAAGCGAGGGCCGAGAGTGAGGAACACATTTTTTTCAATTTACTTACTAATAGTAAGAAGAGCATTAAAAGTAGTATAAAGGAATTACGTAAACTAAGTTATATTAGTACATTTCATTCGAGGTAACTTGGATTCCGGGACCTGCTTTTATTATGCTGTTTTAATTGCCACTATGGCGTTAAGCGAAATGACCCAGGGGTGCTGTGCTTTTTTCGTTGAGAAGTGGTAATGCCCGACCACTTCGGTTTCTATAATTACTATCCAGGCACAAAGAAGTTCTCAATGGACTAACTAATTAGGGCTCATTTGGAGATATTAGCCACAAGGACTTTTACTCCATTGTTACCTTGCATGACACTAATTGAATAAGGAAACCCCTTGTAGGAAATAGATAATGAGATTCATCTCCTTAGAATGAAATCCTCTACTTTAAACATGGGTATAACATTCAAACGCATTTACATTCTGGTTCTATATATCCCCTATCTATCACGATTGCTGTGACCTTATTCTCACCCCTTTCTGCTCTACAAAAACGAGAGACACCTAGCCAGTCTTTTCTTAAATAATAGATGAAGTGGTGTCTTTATGGTTGTTCCCAAACTGGATACCACTTCCACTTCCATTTTTAGCCTTTCGATCAGCGCGCTTCTTGTCCGCCTGCATCATGGCATCAATTTTGCTCTGGTCGGTGCTATGATCAAAGTGGTACAAAGGCTTCAAGACTGCATTCTTACGTTGCAAAACCCAGTGGCTGAACCACTGTGGAAGCGCCTTGGTGAGTTGTTAGCACATGTGGGTTAGAGTTGGGACAGCGAAGATATTGTCGAGTTCTTCGAGAGTGCGCTGCTTTGTGTCTGGCACCCAGAGGAAGATCATGATCAACTCGATGATATTGGTTCCAGTGGCGCCCATGGCATCGAGCATGAGCGGAAGGAACATCGTCAAGACACTGGCTTAGAAAAGTCACGTAGCGACAGCCCAACCCACTTCTACCTCACGATGGGAAAGAGGAAAGACCTCAGCGTAGTACGTAAACGGGACAGGTCCCTCTCCAGGAGAGTAGAACATGGTAAAGATGTAGATGAACATCGCCACCAGCGCCAAGTGAGCTGTCTTGTGTAATTCTCCTGTAGATTTTGGCGCACGCTCCAATACAAGAAGAAGACCTCCTGAAATAATGGATATTAAGGATGAATCCCGGAACTATAGTCGAGTTTTCTATGTTGAGTCTCGGCTGGGCGCGTGTAAATCCCCTGGAAGTTCAAAAATTATTTCTCCTTCTCCCTTCTATCCGTTCTTTGAGACTTTTGCACTAATACAACCAACCTTAGACGAAAATACCTCTTCTCATCCCACTATCGCAAACCTATATCCGCGAAAAGCATGCAAGCAATGGCTCCCTCTCGTCCCCGCCAACCCAAGAAAACCATTAACCGCAAAACCCTTCTCGTCCAGTATCCAGAAGGGACGAACCTACACCCCTTTCAACCCGTAGATCCTACTACTCCACGTTCTTTTAACCTTTCATCCGCTAACATTCATCCCTCTAGTCCCATCACCCGTCTCTCTCCCTGCGCTGCCGTCCGAACTCCTACAAAAAATATTCTCCAACCTCGACCAAGTCTCGTCCGTCTGCCTCAGCCTCACCAGCCGAAACTTTTACGCTCAATACCACGAACGAGATCACCATGATATCGTCCCATTGTGGCGAGGATACTGGGAGCACCAGCGAGCTCCAGGTACCTACCAGGTGGGGTGGAGAATCAAGCCCTTATACAAGCTAATTGGGATGTGGATTGGGGATGGCGAGCAGTATTACTTCTGTATGCCTAGGATGAAATTTGTGTCGATTAGGAGGAGGGGGATTGAGTGGTAACTCGGGATGAACTTTTGCACTAGAGCCTCTGAAGCACCTGCTGTGCCATTCAAACTACTGTAAAAGCTCGAGCCTCCGAACAACCAGTACAAAATCTGAGATATGGAGGAAGCTAATAAGACAATGTTAGAGGAAGACTACAAGACACAACAGTCTCCAGATACTCAAGGCAGAGAGACAAAGCGAGAAGGAACTTGGTGGAAGAAACTTCTGAAGTGAGATATATCAGAGGAGAGAGCTGTGGCACACCAGTGTTATTGGATTCAAGATGTCTGTAGGATAATTGTGTGTCTTCAACTGCCATTCCACTCTTCAACTAAAGCATAATGTGTGGGAGGTGGAGACCGGAATAGGGGTAGGTCGGTTCGCGGTATATCTTCGGAAGAGAGCGGCCGGTCCTGGAGCCCCTGAATCCGCCTCTAACAAGGGAATAAAGGCAGATGCTAGGGATATTTATTATCACGATAGAGTTTGCTGAGGTTATACAGAACACAACAGAAATGGCTGCATTGTGACCTGAAGGGGCATCGAGCTGGCATAAAGGCTAGTCCAGATTTGGTAGCTTTCCCGGTTTTCCGGTTTCCGACACAAGCTAACATTTTCCTCCTTTAACACATCCGTCAAAGACCAGGAATAACACAAACTTTACTAACGTTGCAACGGGGTCTGTAGCTGGTAGAGGAGATGGATCTCCCACAGGACCACCTCCTGACAAGAGGCAAAAGACGTTGTCGAACCCAAATTGATAGAAGCCGTGCATTACCAGGGCTTGCGTCCAATGTAGAACGTAGGTCAAAATTTGTCGTTTGCCCGATTTTTCGGATCTCCCATTGACAATAGAGAACAGAAATTATGCTAGATGCACAGGAACTCATCTTTGTATGCACTGTATCACAGGAAAGCGCGAGTGTTAATACAATGGGACGTATAATCGAGGCACTCCGCCGCTTACCTGGAATGCCTCAGAGGTGAGCTACTGTTGTTTCAATAAGATCTAGCAGAATGGGGCGTTTCGTCTTCTTCTTAGAACACACACAACAATTCAGGTCGTGGTTACCTTTTGTTGTGAATACGGGACAATTCGGATATCTCATATTATTTTGAGACAAACTCTCCCCAGCTCGGTGCAAAAGTACATGCCGTTATCCACATCATGAAGCCAAATGTTGTGACGAGGTTGACTGCTCTCCTGCCGTAATTGCCACTCAATGGTGCGAGAATAGTCTTGCCAATCAGATAGCTGACGAGGTAGATGGAGACCGGAAAGCTTTCCACGCGTGGCCATCATTGAATCCAAAATCCTTGATAGGAGAGTAAACGACCCCAGCGGCAAGCGACAAGCCGTTGGTGCTATTGCGACAAGATTGACGGCGACGGCAAGGATCAAAGCCTTCCGAGCTTGCGGCCAGTTTTCCAGTTTGATGGACGGCTCGTCGTCAAAGGTAAAATTAGTCATCTCCATATCTGAGGTATCGCAGCCAGTGCTGGAATATTCAGCGTCGTCCATCGGCATCTCCCCTTTCTCCAGCAGTGTGCTGTGCGCTGAATTCCATTATACAGAAGATGCAGGTGAGATAATACATAGTCTTCGCTCGATGGCTCTCAACTGCACTCAGTGACGTTTAGTGACACTCAAATGCTCAACACGAGAGGGAAATCCCCAAAAGTCGTCATGGTGAATCTGGACTTACACCTCTAACAACTACCAGCTCGCGCCATTTGATCTAGTGCCAAAGATGGCCTAATTGGGGCGGCGAGAATTCTGATGACCCGTGATACTCTCTTGTTTGCCTAAAGGAACCTCAATTGATTTCTATTTCCTTCATTATGAGGCGAAAATGGAGGCACTCCTCTGACTTACTTTTCTGATTTCTTTTGAAACTGTAGAAGTGTCAGGAAAATGTTGTCATGAACTAACTCTGCGGGGTCGCGGTAGTGCTTTGGTGCCCGGCTCTCGTTGGCGCACTGAACCCTGCTACACATACCGCACTCGTTGGCACGTCATTTTTTCCAAGCAAAACAAATCCCCAAAGAGCAATAGGTTTCTCAAGCAAATCCCCTCTTACCAGATTGCAAGTCTTAACGGGGGCAATCACATCAGAGCTGAACTCTTGTCTCATGGAGCTCAAACAGCGGAGCTGACAATCGACTTCGAAATAAACGCAAATAACGTATGAGAAAGAAGTTGGGAGAACTTCGCTGGCGTTGTTCGGAGGGTAGACGCCGGAGTTCCCCGAAGAAGATGTTGCGGAGGAGGTGTTCAAAACTGCAAAAGCCAAGAAGGAAGTAATGAAAGAAAATTTCGGAGGTCAAGGAAGCATTGAGGTTATTAAATGTGGCGCAAGAGCGCCTTCCACAAGCACAAAAGGAATTGGCGAGCGCACAGAAGGTGGGCAGGGACATGTGACTCTTTGTCGATGACAATCTCAGCTCGTTGCGTTTGGGAATAATAAGAAACTTTGCGAAGCAATGACTGTCATCCGCGAGACCGATCTGGCTTCTGTTTCACCAGAGACGTTGTTGAAGAAGGAAACCCTGGCTGCGCAACTTGGACTCGCGAAGGTCAATGCCGAGACAATTGATTCTTGGGAGGCTACGTTTTTGGCAATTCAATTGGTTCAGCTCATGGCATTCTATGTAGAGCCAAACGAGATTTCAAGCAACTTATCGAAGATGTCAAACAAGAGGAACGGAGAGCGCTAGCCGAGATCAACAGCACGGCGAAGCAGTTAGAGTTTGCGTCACAGGAGCTATTGCTGCCAGGCAGGATATTTTTGAGAAGGTCGCGGGCTTTGGTCAAGCACCTCCGTGTTACTCAGATGATAAACCGGCGCCGAATTATTCGGGCATTCTGGGAGAGGGGCACGAGCATAGGGACAGATTTCGGCAGATTGGGATAGAGACATGAAGAACCTTCTCTTAGTTCAGGGCCTGGTTGAGCGGCTTAAGTCTATATCAATATCTTTACCTCTCTAGTTAGACAAACCACTGAGTTTTCTGCAGTTTAGCATCTTTAGAACTTTTGCACATTATCTTGCCTTCGTTTCCAGAGGATAGCAACCTGGAATAGTCATCCATCTTGGATCCTCGAGGTTTTCCCCCCAAAAGAGGATGAAGTGCCAGGACATCCAGCAATCCTCCCAAGTATCGTATCTTGACGCAGACTGTCCAGACATGCTGGAGAATTTGCGGATGGTGTGAACATCTTCTAAAGGTCTGGGTGATCATTTCACAGACTGGGAACTGCTTCCAGTACCGCTTACAAGACCCTTAACCCAACTTCTATTCGTTATAAGATTATTTCTTCTCTCCTTCTTTTCTGCGTAGAGTCGCAACTTACTGGACTTTCACCCGCAGCCCCTCACTTCACGTGACTAATATTACCCCGCCCCCTTTTGACTCGCGTTTCAGCCTCTCATCGTCTCTTTTCGCACCCTTATTTCGCAATTGACGAATAAAAGTACTTCCTCAACTCGCTCGTTCAGGGAGTGTCGCCGCAGCTGAGTCCAACATGTGTCATTGGACAAGATTGTGGAATGATTCCAGGACCATTAAATTCGACAGGGGCAATTCGACTCGTTACTGGAACGTTGCAACGGTGGCGCTTCCGAAAACTGACGCTACAAGCAGATTGGACCTGCAGAAAATAGCCTATTTTCTCAATATTTTGGACTTCTCCTCTCCATCGTCAATTCTTCGGACCGAGCTGTAACAGTTGCAGAGCTGCGAAAGGAAGATTTTGCAGCTTCGAGCCCACGATGGCATCGACCATCATGGATCTGGTTCGAGATATCGATGTGGAGTTCTCTCCTCTGATTGTGTGCGGAATTATAGCTGGAGTGGTGTTCGCCTGCTGGCAGTTTCTTTTCACGGGCTTGGACCCGAGGGAGCCTCCTGAAGTGAGGTCCAGCATTCCTTTCGGTCATCTGTTTGGGATGCTATGGTATAAAGCTGAATATGTAACAGTTTTGAGGTGAGTTCTTCTGTCTGTTCACTTCTTTTCAAGATGAGTGCAGTTGTTATTCTTTCAGCGTCTCCCTTCAGCCAGTGTTTTGAGGAAGGAACCGCATCCAGTGATCGGCCGGGAGAATTTGCTTCGTCACTTAGTGGCCTCGATTTATGTTTGACCCATCAATTGTTGTCCTGCGTTCTGTACTGATTTTATCATTTCGCCAGCCGCAAAGTCAAGCAACCGATTTACACCATTCGAATTCTGGGGACACGAATGTATATCCTCTGCTCCCCAGAATTCATCCAAAGGACCTTCGCCAACCCGAAAGCCTTCACATTCGAGCCCTTTGTCTCCACCGCCGTTAGACGTCTCCTCAACATCAGCGAACCCGACATGAAAATCCTCCTCCAAGAACCAGGACCCGAGAAACTCCCCTCCTACGCACAAGACATCCACGACCTTGAGCATTCAACCTTAACGCCCGGTGCAGCACTTTCTCAGCTAAACGATGCTTTCCAGACCAGGTTAGCAAAATCGTTTAATGAAATCGATACCGAAGGAACGACAGTCAACCTCCATAGCTGGAGCAGAGACGTAGTCACACAAGCAGCATGTGCCGCGATTCTCGGACCCGACAACCCCTACGAAGATGATCCTACTCTCATCGAAGCTCTTTGGTAAATCTCCCCTGATACTCCCAACACTTAATTTTAATTTAAATACAAATGCTAACATCAGCCACACAGGGATTTCGAAACCGACATCGTCCTCCTCATCCTGCGCATCCTCCCCAGTCTAACAGCACGGCGCGGCTACGTCGGCAGAGCACGCCTCAGGACCGCTTACCTATCTTACCACCATACAGGCCTCTGGAAACAAGGCTCCCCACTCCTCCGTGGAATGAGAGAAATTGGGAAGAAGCATGGCTTCAACGATACCCAGATTGCGGAGTGGGACGTCTTGTTCACGATCGCGGCTGTGACGAATGCTATTCCGATAAGTTTCTGGATGTTAAGCTATATACTCGCCGACCCTCAATTAACTCCATCTGTGCGGGGAGAGCTCAAGGCAATCGTAACAGTGAAGGAAGACGGGAAGGGAGGCAAAGTCTTGACATTAGATCCTCGAATGATTCGTGAGCATTGTCCTATTCTCATCTCGATCTGGGAGGAGATGTTGAGATTCACGTCACAGCCTACGCTAGGACGATATGTAACGACTGATACGGTGGTCAACAACGAGTATCTCCTCAAGGCGGGGAGTGTGGTGCAGATTCCGACTGGGATCACGCAATCCAATCCTTCATATTGGGGTCCTGACTCCTCTTCTTTCAACGCCCGCCGCTTTTTCAAAACCGATAAAGATGGAAAGGAAAAAGCGAGCAAAGACGAAAGGGAGCAAGAAAAGTTGCAGAGGAGAGCGTATACGCCTTTTGGAGGCGGGAAAAATCTTTGCCCTGGGCGCCATGCGGCTGCGAATGAGACGCTGAGTTTTGTGGCGATGATGATTTATGCTTTCACGATTGAAAACAAAGATGGGAAGCCATTTAAGGTTATCGAGACAGCACCAAGAGCTGCTGGTGCTTCGGTTCCGAAAGCTGAGGGGGATGTGGAGGTTATTATTAGGCTGAGAGATGACTTGAGGGGGGCGAGGTTGGCTTTTGCTGGTGGAGAAGGGAGGTGAGAAGAAATGAGAGTTGTGCTCTGAAAATGAGTCAATTATAAAATACAAAATCTAATTCATCGATATGCCGTGGAGAAGTTCATGATAATGGATAATGAGAATCTTCCACAATACACCAATAGTGTCCAGGCCATCTTGAACCCACGCGCTAATAATATAAAAATATATGAGCCGGTTCCTCTCGTCCAGTCATATCGCAAACATACTCGAGTCAGCATCTTCATTGGCCCTCCAACCAGCGAATCCGACCGCTCAAGCCCACCACTCATCTCACCTTCTTCTCGTTCCTGCATCTGCCAAGCCCCTTCTGCAGGACCCAGATTTTGCATTTCCTTCCCAGCTGAAAGTCCAGCTTATGCTGTCATGAAACTCTCTGAGTCCATGTGTGAAGGTGGTTGGGAAATAGGGAAAAGAAAAGGTATTACTTAGTCACCTGACCAGACTCCTCTTTTCTCAATCAGGAAGGTGGGGAACTTTCCCCTCGCACGTGGGGCGACCACAGGTGTCAATTTTCTCCCAAGGCTTCTGCAAGCTCCAGAATCAATAACTCGCAAAGAGAATCGCCGAGCTGGATGCAGTTGTGAAAGGTGGGAGAGCTGTATATATATTAGGGAGCATGGACTTTAATTTTTCCTGTGTCTTGGAGTGTCTCACCCAAGCTCTCAATTCAACCCTCGTCATGCAGCTCACGCGCCTCCTCCCGTTCGGCTTCGCCATCACGTGTGCAAGTCTCGCAGCACCGGCACCGGAACCAACTGCTCTTGCTGTCCTGCCTAGAATTCATTCCAATGAATACATTAATTACACGACTCTTACTGGTTTCTTCTTGCAGGATGATCCAGCTACCTCCACTACGGGTTTTGACTATGTGAGAATGCAGTTTTGGAGACAGAGAGAGAGAGAGAGAGACAGGATGTGGCTAATTTATATATGTGTAAAGGCAGCTGTAAATTTCGGCTTGATCAACAGAACATATTCAACCGATAGCGAGGTCCCTGCGGACTGGACACAATGGCAGAAGTTCGATCACTACGTCTGGCGTCTGAATCGTGGCAGTGGACGTTTTGTCCAATATAAAGTCTTGTACATGGGGTAAATATTTTTTTTTATGTTTAATTTCATATCCTGCTGCGGAAGATGAGAGCCTGGAGGTATTTCAGGAGCCATCGTTCCTAAAGCTCCCAGCTCTTCCAGAATTTTCTCGATTTTACAGCGCTAATTTCCCGTGTTCATAGCCGTCATGGTGAAGGATATCACAACGTCGCTGAAACATACTACGGAACTCCTGCTTGGAACGTGGGCCTTTCCTCCTGGCGCCAAATTCCAAATTACTGACATGAATAAGTGTTACTGGTCCCTCAAAGACGGCAACGGAACCGTATCCTGGGCCGACGCACGCATAACCCCCAACGGCGTCGCGCAAGCCGTAAAAGCGCACGACTTCTGGGCCTCCCACATCACCAGCCAGAAAATTCCCGTGCCAGAGACATACTACACATCCCCCTTGACGCGGTGCTTACAAACAGCAAACATCACGTTCTCCGGCCTCGATCTGCCCTCGCGTCAACCCTTCATCCCCACCGTAAAAGAGTTATTCAGAGAAGGGATTTCTGGGCACACGTGTGACAGACGCGGCACGAAAACGTACATCCAGGATGCATTCCCGGCATATAAGATTGAGGCCGGTTTCTCGGAAGATGATCTGCTCTGGAAACCGCTCCAGGGCGAGGTGCCAGTCGACGAAGACATCCGCAGCAAGATTGGTCTAGATGAGGTATTTGACAGTGATGACAGCACATATATCTCCATCACCAGCCACTCGGGAGAAATTGCTTCCCTTTTACGAGGTAAGACTTCCTCTATTTCTTATTCTATTTTTTGTTTTTGTTTGGGAGGTTTGGGAGAAGGGGTAGAGAATGAAGCTGATAAAATGATACAGTGCTTGGTCATCGCAACTTTAGTCTGAGTACTGGACAGGCCATTCCTGTGTTGGTTAAGGCGGAGACGATTGAGAGCAAGCCGATTGTTACTGCTAGCCAGGCGTGGACCACTATCTCGACTTGTAGCACAGCGCCGCCACTTCCTACTGCCACCTAGAGGAGCACAGAGGTCGCATTGGATGGATTTAGTGAATAAGTAGTGAAGTATTGGTAATGTTGAATGATATAATTGAGATAACCCAATCTACCTCCTGCTTTCCTACGAGGCTGCGGGACATGCTCTTACTCAACGCCACTGGGCTGAAAAGCGTAGCCATGGGAGTGACACGAGATGGACGAATTGCTAATAAAACCAGAATCCGTGATAAATACTTATTTCCATTGCGAATCCAACCCAATCAACCTAAACCAAAGGAGAAGCCAAATCAGCACCAACCATACTTCTCATTTCCAACCCACTCAATGTCATCCGAGGTGCCACTTCCCTCACCATACCACATCAAACTCGCAATACTCTCCTCCTCCCTCTCAACCTCACTGTGTTCCAACCCAGTCCCCTTAACCAGCCGCTTGACAAACTCAGTCGGGTTCCAGAGCTCCACATGTCCAAGCTGCCACTCCTTCGCTTCCGCCTGAGCAATCTCCAAAATACCTTTCAATTTAGTTGCATTAGCTTCCACGTCTGCTTCATCCTCAATAACGAGTCGTAGTATATGAAGTGTATTTCCTGATTCCGGTTTTAAAGGGCCATAGAAAGCTCGTGTCCAGATAGCCCAAACGCGGGAGCCGGGCTCACCGGCAATAGCGCCTTTGATGTTAGGCAATTTGCCAAATATTTTGCCGGAGACAAAGTCTTCGCGCTTGTGGTGCCATTGCATGACATCGTGGTTTGGGATCAAGGCAATGTGTACTTTCTCGTCCTTCGCGGTTTCGAGGCTTCGTTTGATGTATGTTTCGTCCAACGCACAGAGTTCCTCGAGATCGGGATAGGCTAAAGGTTTCGCGTTAAAGGGCTTGCTGTTCGAAGCTGGCGGGAAAGCGATGTGTGTACTGGGAAAGGGCACCCATCCGAACTTTGCGTAGTATTTCTTCCCAATGTCCGAGTACAGGATGCTGAATGGGCAGCAAACGTTTTTGTCGACCTGCCAGTCCTTCAATACAGGACCCAGCTCTCGCAGCATCCGACTCGCGTATCCCTTCCCTCGAAACTTGGGCTGGCTGAATACGCTGCCAATTCCGTGTGTGATGCCTTCTGTGATAACGCCGTTGTGGGATACTAAGACTGGCTTGCGGAGGGATTCGCAGGAGGCGAGGATGGGACGCTCGTTAGGGGGAAGGGTTCGGTCGACGAGGATCCAGTGTGTTACACCGCCGTCTCTTGCAAGAGGAACGGTGGTGAGGAACTGCTCGCGTTCGAGGTAGTCGGGGACGGAGAGCGCGGTGCCCCAATTGACGGAATTGAGGTTCCAGGTTGCCAGCTTCTCCTCTGGTGTTGGGTGCGTCAAGTAAAGGAAGTCGGATCTGGAGTCTGGCGACATGGAAGTCTCGGGCAATGTCGTGGTGGGCGTGTTCTCTCCCATCGTGATGTTGATGCTCGAGGTACCTGCCTACAAACTAAAAGGTTCTGAGGGTCGATTGCTTGTCTTGTCTCTCTGTAAATATTCTATGCTAGGTGAATAGGGTTATAGGTCTTAACAAAGCAATGCTGGGTTGGACGCAGAGAGCGTATAAAGAGGGTCCAAAGGGCGCGGTGCAAACGCGAACTTCGAATGACAAAGAAGGGAAACGGCGATTCCGTTGATCAAGGTCAGCAGATAGATGAGAGATGATACTTCCAAGTTCATGAATCGTGTGACTTCATGGCAGAGATTTCCATTGAGTAAAGGTCGAGGCAAGACCTGCCGTTAGAGGTTATCCCTCCCTCCAACCTCTAACGGCAGGTTTTGGAGTGCGGAAGGAAATGTTTCTTGAACCTTGACCCTTGACCCGAAGAGAACCGAGTTTGGAGGTTAGTGGGGGCTTGAGAGGCGGTGAATCGTGAAAATGTGGGTCGGACCCCTGCCTTTAATCGCAGCAAATCAGCAGCCAGTAATTTGCCGGGGAAACAGTACATCGATTCTAACCTGCATTTCTCCTGTGTATCTCAATAGTTCCACCAAGTGTGCCATCGCTCAAATGGTTGAGGTGTTGACAGCTCTCGAGGTTCACGGCCCGCCTCACGTGCCGATAAAAAACAAAAAACGGTTAAGCGAGCTCCGATAAGCTTAGCGCCGCCCAAAATACTGTAGAGCGCCGACGTCCCTCGTCCCTTCTTCTATCTTTCTGGTTCGCAGCCTCGTCTGGAGCCACCAAGTTCGCCTCTGGTCAAGACTGCCCATGAATCATATCAACTTAGGGCGAGGCGTGATATGGTATGACGGCGCAGACATTCCTTCCCTGACGCCCAGCGGACACTCCAGCTTTTCCATCCCAGGTCAACTTTGTTTGCCATTTACAACCCCCGGGCTGGGCTCGCTGTTTTGGAACTTGATTCACCCAGTTGCTCCTTCTTTCATCTCGAAACAAAACGACGCCGAGGAACTTGGATTTCCTTCCACAGCAAAACACACCAACACAAGGCAGCTGTCCACCAACATCAACGCATTCTCCGCTACAGCGCCGAGTTGTCGCCTCGCCCTATGCCGCTCACATAATCCTTCTTGCGAGCAGCCACGGACTGCAATATTCCAACAGGAGCCATGAACCGTGTAGCTCAACCCCAGGCCCAGCAGGCGCCTCAGCTTCCTCGAGATGCAGCGAATCAGCGTCGACAGGAGGTCATCGACCTAATATCCGAAGATGAAGACGTAGAATCCGGGTCCGAAGACTTGGATTTTGAGGAGGGAGACTTATTTGTCGATGCGCCACAATCGCCCGTCCGACCCCAAGATCCTGCTTTGGGTCGAGGCCAACAAGAAGCTGTATTCCATATCATCGACCTCATGGACCACGAGCCGCTGCAAATCGTGCCTCCAGTTCCTGCCCCCGCTAGACCGGCGAGTCCACCTCCCGCCCGAAACCAAGAATGGGGCGACTATATTATCGACGGCGACTTCGATGCCGCAGAGTTCGCTCGGGCCCTTGAGAATGAAGGGGAATGGCATTTTATGGCCGGACCTCCAGCACCAGGTCCTCCGATAGCACCTCATCAGCAGGCTGCGCCACCAGCAGCGGCTCCAGTCCAGCAAGCATCACAGCTGGCTGCCATTGCAGAGTCTAAGGATGAATGTATCCAAATGGTTGCAGCAGTCTTTCCTGGAATATGCCTGGATCACGTGTCAGAACTTCACAACAAGATTTCCAAGTCTTCCGAACGGCTGATAGCCCATCTCTTGGATCAGATGGACAAAGGCGTGCTCTATCCAAAGGCTAAAGACAAGGCAAAGGACTTGAAGAGGAAGCGAGAAGTAGATGAGATTGAGGAAGCAGCTCGCAAGTATGGGGCTCCGGACCGTGTCATCTCCGCGAATGTAGGAGGAATTCGGCCGTATATGTGAGTTGGCACCATTTTCGTTGCAGCGGTCAAGCTTGGGCTCGTGAATTCCGCTCCCCTTAACTCTTCCGATATTTCTTTGAAGGAGGTGTGCCTTGTTTCGCATTTATATTTTAGACTTTACTTTCTTATTTCGTTGGATAACCCCCTCGCGAATGGAATAATCACTGACTCCAATAGTCGAAACATCCTCTCACACGAGTTCCCCGATACTCCAATGGCCTTCATAGATGCAACCCTAAGCCAATCAGGACACCGTTTGTTTTCAGCTTATCAACTGTTGGATGAGGCCGGCCGAATCTACCATCCCCTTACTTCGGGTTACACCAAAATCAAAACTGCACGGAAGGCGCATACTGATTTCCGGGAGGAAAGCATAGAAACCCTTCTCAGCGATCCCACTGGAGACCTCGAGCGTGGTGAAATTCTTCGAGAACTTCGAGCTGCAAGAAGATATAAAGCAAAAGCAGATACAAAGCGCGAAGAAGAGCGTCTAGCTGCACTCGAGGAAGAAGAGAATGAGAGGAGAGCGCATGCAGAAGGAACAATGGAGGAGTGTGTATGTTGTTTTGGAGACTATCCACTAAACCGTATGGTTCATTGTGATGCAGATGAGATGCATTGGTTCTGCAGAGGCTGTGCGCTTCGAAATGCCGAGACCGAAGTCGGCCAATCTAAATACGAGCTCTGCTGTATGTCGATGGAGGGCTGCGATGCAAAATTCACACTCTCTCAAAGGTAAAGTACTTGCACTGACAGCCCGGATGTCTCTACTGACTGTTGGTAGGGCTCAATTCTTGAACGAGAAGACAAAGATTGCCCTTGAACGAAACGAACAAGAAGCAAACCTTCGTCTGGCAGGCATAGAAAATCTTGCGAGTTGTCCTTTCTGTCCTTTTGCAGCAGAATATCCCCCAGTCGAAGTTGATCGTGAGTTCAGATGCCAGGCGCCGGATTGTGAGAAGATTAGCTGCCGTCTGTGCAATCTCGAGTCGCATATTCCCAAGAGCTGCGAAGAGAACGCTAAGGAGACGGGTCTATCTGTGCGTCGTCGTATCGAGGAAGCCATGTCTGCAGCTCTGATCCGAAAGTGCAACAAATGCGGAACACCGTTCATCAAGGAAGAAGGGTGCAATAAGATGAGATGCACGCTGAAAGGGTGTGGCAACGTCCAGTGCTACGTCTGCTCAAAGTCCTGCGATTACGACCACTTCGATGACAGGGGTCGTGGCGGCAAGCCTGGAAATTGTCCCCTCTTCGAAAGTGTTGAGACGAGGCACGATGAAGAAGTTAGCAAGGCCGAGAAAGAGGCATTGGAACAGGTTCGAGCTGAGCATCCAGAGTATACTGAAGATGACTTGAAGGTAAAGGTGTCGGAAGATGTCAAGAAAGATGACGAGCGGCGGAGGGCAAGAGATCCCAGACTTAACCCTGCTGTGGGAAGGCCGTTACCGATTTATCGTGGTTAGTGGAAACTTTTCCGGCGTGGAATTTTGGCAAAGTTTTTTTCTGCGCTGTGTCGAGTGAGACGTGCCTTCTGGGCACCTTGTTTTGATTTCTTGTTGCCCCTTACCATGGTTCTTTTGAGAATGGATTCGAACTTCTGAGACAGAGGCTAACCTATGGGAAGGCTTTCCAATTCAAGAAATGAATGCAATGAATGCAATGCATATGCAACGCCATTTCATGCCTAGACGAATGCCGCGACCGGCAGGAGCCGATCCAGCACTTCCGGTGCTTCCAGATCAAGGCCCCGGAGGAGATCTTCCTTATTTTCGTCGCGAGCCATATCTCGGTCCTGGTCGACGAATTGGAGACGGTAAGTTTTTTCTTGGAAACAGGGAGATTTATGCGACTCACATAGACGTTCAGTAGCGAGACGGTTCATTGCTAATTTGAAAACCTAGCTGGCCAACCCAACCCCGGCGGCATGTTCGACGATGTTGACGATATGGGGATCTTCAATATGCCTTGGGGAGACGACTTTGGTTTTCCCCCGCCGCCCGGCGCGTCTCCTCCCGGCTTCCAGATTCCTCTGCCTCCTCCCAGACTTGCGGCCCCAGCATTGCCCCCGGCTCCTGGTCCAGCAATGCCTCCTCTAGCAGCTGCCCGACCTGGCGATGGTATGTTCGAGGACATATTTAGGGGACATCCAGGTGAGCAGCCACCTCTATTGGGACTTGAGCAAGATATCGATTGGCGGAACCCTGCGGGAGTCCCGCCCTTACCAGAATACCGTGCTGCGGTAGACGATAATCAGGGAAGATTAGCTGCCCTGCAAGAAAGAATGGCCGATAGGACGAGGCTTCGCAGAGCAGGGCCTGTCAAGAACGAAGCGCAGCCGGAGGACGACTTGTTGCATGCGGCGGCATTGCGACAACACATTACACAAGCGAAGGCAGCACGACAGCTGGCACAAGCGCAAGCAGCACGACAGCTAGCACTCGGGCAACAATTTAGGCAAGCTCGGGCAGCTAGGGAGATGGTATTGCCAAATGTCGTGCTCCCCGAAGCACCGCAGCCTCTTCCGAGACAAGTCCTGGGTGATGCGGTTGCTAACGCAGTGGAAGCCAGGGAGGCACGTGATGCTGAAAGAAGACGGCGACTTGAGGAGCAAGTGGGCAAGGTGGCAGTAAATCTACGAATGGCAAGATTGAGGGAGATTGCACAAAAGAATGAACGTAATAACGAGGACGAGAGCAAACGCCGGCTCCGTGAGCAGATGGATAGGATCCAGGCCTTGCAGGACAGGGCGCGAGCTATCGGTCAAGACGGAGGCGAAGATGTGCGCCCTCGTAATGAGCGGCCGGAGAGACTGCGCCAACGGCTCGGGAATCAGAACAACGCCAACAATGAAGCAGGTGGATCGAACAAAGACGGCAACAATGCAGCTGCAGATGACGGACCGCCGCTTCTTCGAGGAACGCATTACCGAATCCGTCGACCAGAACAGCCACCAGCAGCTTTACCGCAGCCGGCAGCGGCGTTACGACAGCAGCAAATTCTCGACCACGAAGAGAGGAGAATCGAGCGATCGCAGCTAATGGCAAGATTGCGAAGAGAGCAGGAGAATGACGAGGCTGCTACGGCGAAAAGACTGGCGAGGCTTCGACAGAATGGGGCTGCAGCTGCTGCACATAGTCCTCGACATCGACAGGGACAAGTTGTTGATCTCCTATCCTCCTCCCCGGAGGCCAAGAAAAAGGCAAGGCTTTTCGACATGGCTGATGAAGCCGACGATGAGGAGGACGAGGACGAGGACGAAGAATGGTAGGGACTGAATAATAAATTGGTGCTTTTATTTGCGTTTGTTATTTGCCGGCTGGGAAACAGAAACAGCTTGGGCAGGGCATGGCAGGCGTTCAGCATACATACATACTTTCTGATACCCCTATGTAGCATTTTCTTTGAGAGCAAGCATACGGGGCATCTCAGCAAGGGTGAGCGTGGCGTCATGGGCTGTAGGGTTTCCTAGCGAGCGAGCGAGTTCTTTCACTTATTTACATAATCCAGTAATGAATCACGTGCAAATAAATCACAGGTTCCTTAACCCCCTTCTTGTGCGCTAAAATTGCAGTGCATGACTCACTATCAGATCGTTCTCCCGGTGAGACATAGTCCACACTAGCGGCCGCATAGATTATCCCCAATTCAGCAAATAAGAACAAGATTCCTCCAATCATCCTTTTTGTATCTACAGTATGCGGCCGCCCGCGTGGAGTACCGGTATGTCTCACTGGACGCAAGACCCAATCCTTCATATATTCGCTTCAAGCAACATCAGCCTCACAGTCCGAAGCGCCAACAGAAATATTCCCACTACAACAACACACCCGGCTCCGCCGAGTCGCAATTCAATTTAATTCCCGCTCCTTGTATTATGCCAGTTCTCCCAACTGCACAAATGCGACGGCAAACTTGGACGAGAAGGAAAACTCCTCTCCTGCACGAAAAGTTGATCCCGCGATTTCATAGGGGGGTGGGGAAGGCATGGCGGCACCAGCGAATATGTCGTTGACAACTTGCCTTGAAGCCCTTGAAGCCCGAATCCTCCAATCAGAAGGGGGAGGGAGTTCCTCGATATGTTTCTAGTTGTCTCCCTGGCATTCGGCTGATCGAGAAGGCACAGTGTGTAGTTGCCGTGTTCAACGCTTTTACGTGATTCTCTGGTTCTCTACATGCTGTGCTGTAAAAATGAACATCCATCCATCCCATCAACCATCAAACCACCACGCAGCTCTTGCAGTGATGTGTCACGCCGCCCACCCATCCACCCATCCATCATAATCGGCCGTCAAGAAGAAAGGGAAATGTTCTGTATTAAAGGGGGAACGGGGTATGGTGAACGAATGAACAGTGTCGAAAAGGAAGAGATCTACGAGGGGAATCGCGGGTATGTACCAATTGAGAAGCGGGTCAGGGAACAAGAAACTCAAGCACCCTGCGCCAACTCCTGCAGCTTCCCCTTCTCCTCTCCACTCAAAGCCTCATACAACCCATTGAAATCCGCAATGTTCTCTCTCCCAGCGCGGATAAAAAACTCCGTCAGATAAGCTTGCGTCTCGTCATCTCTCTGTCGCATGAAACTGCCTTGTCCTTCGCCGTACGCCATGAGTTCGGCTTTTGTCGTCCCGAGACCGAGGTCGAGAGTGGAAGGCACGTCTTCCCAACCGTCGTCGGAGGCCCCTTCGTCGGCGTACTCGGCGGCTGCTTGGGCGGCTGTCGCGGCGTTCGCCATTCCCGAGGCGGATAGGAGCTCTTCGATGAGGACTTTAAGGATTTTTAGGGGGGCAGGGATGATGGTGAATTGGTCGGGATCTGGCGCTGTTAGTTTAGTTTAGAAGGAGGGGGGAGGGAGAGGCGATTTACTGAGTTTGGCTTTTGAGCGGGTCATAATTCGATCACTGACTGGGACGATCAAATCGCCCTTTACCATTGTTTGGACGACTCGTGGGTCGTTGAGAGTAAAGACTTTGGACAAGGCGATGACACTGGCCCAGGTTAGTAAGACGATAAGAAAGGGGAGGGAAGGCTTACTTTTGACGAATCTCATCGTATCCGGCAAAGTTGATCGAGTTTTCGAGCCATTTGCTGAGTACAACTTGGAGTCCATTTTGGCCATTGATCTCAATCTGTGACAAGAACTCAACAACGTCGTGGGCACCGACCAAAGACAGGCGGGCGAAGACCAGAATGAGAGATTGGATGAATGGTGCGGCTTCAGCAGTGGCCAACCGTGAAGCAACAGCTCGCAACAGCTGCTCCAAATAAGGACCAAGACGCTCTTGGCCAGCTTTCTCGACGAGTTCTGCTGCAAGACCGCCAACTTCTGAAGCAGCATTGTCCTCGATTGTGGGGCCAAGAAGCTTGTCGATGATAATCAAGCAGACTTCAAGACCGGACCTATTCGAATCGTCGTGCCATGCGAAGACTTGTTGATGGCCGTGCATGAGCATGAATTTGATTGCCTCAACACCTGGCCGTAGAACACCTCCCTCAGTAGTAGCCATGAGCAGTCGGTTGAGCTTAGGCAGAGCTGCTGCCACATATCCTGGTGGCAGAGGCTCTGAACCATTCTCGGTGAGGACTGCGAGTAATTCGGTGGCAAGCTCAATCAACGGATTATCACCCGTCATATTTCCGACATCAAATGCCCCAGTCAGGGATGGCAAAACCTTTGCACACAATACAGTGTATGAATCTCCACCAGCCAAGGCGCCAACAATCTCCTCGAATGTTTCACTGACCAACATGGTCAACATGAAGTTTGATGCTCCATGCTTGGCAAGAACGAAGAGTAGATCAAGTGCTCCACTGTCGCCTTCGATGGTGATCCTTGAATCAAGTCCAATGGCAGCGCGTAATGATTCGACCAATGTAACAAGAAGGTCGTCTGCATCTTCGAGATCCGTGAGGTCCTTTGCGTACAAAAACTCCGAGATCGATGCAACGATCGGAAGCTGACGATCAGCCGGAACAGTGCGCGCCTTGATAAATCCCTGAAGAGCTTTGATGCAAGAAACCTTGACGACTTCGGCCTCGTCATGGTTCACACTCTTAATGGTGCGGTCAAGCAAACCAAGAGCGACATCTGGGAGACTTTGGACAAGGATACCCGCCACCAAATATCCTCGAGCACGGAGAAGGTGCTCATCCTCTCTATTGATAGCGTAATCGATCAATCCCAAGTAAGCACCAGCAACCTCGGGTTGAACCGTCTTGTCTACATCCAAGAAATCGTTCATGAGTTGGGTCAAGAGAAACAAAGAAGCTTCTCTGGTCCTCCATGTTGCACCCTCGGATGCAAAGAGGACTTGTGTATAGGCCAGAAGGCCTTCGAGAGCTCCTTGGTGAAGCCATTCCCCGAGTTTGATGAGTAAGTCGCCGCAAGCTGTACGCGCCGTATAATTCGCGGTGACAGATGTCTCCTCTGCCAAAAAGAGATTCACGTCAATATCCCAAAGATCTTCCTCTTCCTTGGGGATCTGTGCATATCCAACAGCCAACTTCATAACATCCATCACCCAAGGTGTTGCTGAAACTCCCGAGTGTTGTTGTATTTGCGACTCGAGCTCCTTCTGGACAGGAGGCGCTCTCAGACATGATTGCAAAAAGTCAAGCTCTTCCAGAACCAAAAAGTCCAAAGTATACGGCAATCCGTCAGCATCTTCCAGACGTCCTTGCTCGTCGTTATCCACGTACATATCCTTGTATGAACTTTGGAGGATCGAAAGCTCTTCCCAGGTCGCACTAAACAGAACTGGACTTTGCGGTAGTAGTAGCTGTGGGAAGACAGAACGAATCTTCATCAAAGTCTTGACAACTTGCAGCTTGAGGGCGATTATACCTCTCCAGGCGTCCGGCTTATCTTCTCTACCGCTCTCATATCCCTCGTCTCCGCCCTTTGGTCTAGCAGGCAATGACTTCTTCATAACTTCCATAAAGAATGGGGACCAGGCTGTCAAAGCTTCATCTGCAAAACCCTTGACTTCCGGTCCATGTTCGTCCTTCACCATATCCATAATATCAAATGTGCCACGGAAAACGGAAACTGCAAGAGCACGCAGGAGTGGTTTTCGGGTTTCACTGACAGCCACATCGTAGACAACCTTGACAATGTCGCGTGCTACTGCAAAGAACTGGTCTTCACTGAGGGAATCATCGACGAGATCTGAAAGCACTTTGAGTGCCCCGTGTAATTGGAAATCGGTAGCATTTGGGATGAGGTGAAGGAGAGCTGGGAGAAGATTTGGCCATTGGTCTGGAAAGTCGACATTTGCGATTTTGCTCACAACGTAACTACAAGCCATCCATTAACCAAAGTTAAAGCTTTGAGCCGGTTTGAGACATACCTAGCTGCGCTCTTAATTTTCCTATCCGCATCACCACTTGTTGCCAATTCCAGCATCTGTATCCTCAGTTGCTCCTTGGTCTGGTCACTAATGGGCACGACCACACCGTCCTCGTTCTCCCCACTCCAATTCTTCTCCACAAAGGTCCTCAATAGCAGCAACGCGGCCTGTCTGATCTCCCCGCTTACGCTCGAGTGGGTTGCAATAGCGGCCAAACTTCCAGGAAATGCGGGATTGCTCTGCGCGTGCTGCAGATGCTCCTCCGCCTGCTTGCGCGGTCCCTCGGCGGGAAGCTGTGTATCCGCCAGCAGCTGCAGCAGCTGGTCTTCCATAGTTCCTGCCATCCTGCCTTGACTGAATCCGAGTAGCTGTGCTCGAGAATTGCAGAGATTTGTAATGTGGAAGGGAAAATTGGCGGGGATTGTTGTTTTCGTGGGGAGTTGTGGAAGCGTTTCGCCTTGAGAACACGCGAGGAAATTTTGAGGCGCGTGAAGTGGACGTGAACGCAGTCCCAATCGAACAGGCTGCCTCGACGTTCACTGTGCCACCACAAGCGTAAAAGAAGCATACGATATCTGATACGATACGCGTTTATGCGATGGGCTTGTGAGAAAAGAATTTGTCCATTAAGGGGCAGTGAAGTGACCCTCCAGCAAAATGACGACCCCGCCAACCCTCACGAACTACCAGTCGATCCTCCAAACCTTCACCGACTTTCTCACCGTCGCAATACACACGATCCTCTACGAGCGGGCTCTATACCCCTCCAATACGTTCATATCAACCCGCAAGTACAACTTTCCAGTCCGCCAAAACCGACATCCAAAGGTGTGCGCTTGGATCAATGACGCCGTCTCCAATGTCTCGACTCTCATGCTCAAAGGCACGGTCCGACGCGTTGTGGTCGTGATTTACAACCAGGATTTGGAAGTGATGGAGCGTTATCTATTCGATGTTGAGAGATTTCCTGTAGTGGATCCTAAGGAAGCTTTGACGGAGTTTGAAGCAAGAGAGGGTCAAGGGGAGATGAAGATTAGTATTACGGACGTGGAAGAACAACTGAGAGCTACGATCCGGAGGTTGACATACGCCTGTAGCAAGATGGGACCCCTACCTGAAGGGTGTACATATACGGTTGCAGTGGAATTGAGGGATAAGGCGGATCCGCCAATTGGGGTAGGTTCATGAAATATTGAGGTAGAGAGACAGGTACTGATGTTCCATAGCATCCGCAGCCCTGGATCCCATCAGAGCCGAGCCTCCAGACAGGAGAGAAGGGCTCCAGTGAGAATATTGGGAGCGATTTGGGAGGCGTGAAGAGTACGCCGGTACGGTTGGTCGAAGCTGGGGAATTCATCCTTGAGACATGGGTGGAAGAAGGAAGAGCAAAATATCACGATGGTGGAGACTGAACGAATCTCACGACAATGAATCCAACGATGCGGAGCGGTACGGCCAATTCTCGAAAAACGACAGGCAGGGTTATAGAGCGGTCGAGCATTCCAGTCAGAGAGGCAAGAATTGGCCCGCGGTGGAAGAAGAATTGATAGGGATACTCATGAGAGATGGCACCAGAAGGAACGAGGGAATTCTTCGAATCTATGACAACTTAGATGTTGAATTGAGTTGTCCCCTCAGTTACAAATCTCCCCTGCTCGCAGTCGGTTCTCATCTCTGTCTCCAGACTTGGGCCTGGTATCTATACCCTCCCACCAAAGCACGTTCCTCGGCATCCCATCCTTCAAATTACCTTTCATGATCGGACGCCTCTTCTCCAAAAACGCCTTAAACCCCCCTTTTTTGTCCTCTTTGTCATGCAACTCCCACATCAACTCCGAAGCCAGCAGATGAACTCCCTCCGCCAATCCCGGATTTCTCCACATCATCTGACGCATTAGACACGTACTCGCCATCGAGGTCTGCGCTATTATCTGCTCTGCCAAGTCCAAAAAACGAGGAAGCACTTTTTGAGGGGAAGGGAGCAGTTCAGAGAAGAGATCACCAAATTGAGGCGATGAAGCGGAAGAGTCGAGCCAGTGGTGGTGAGGTATGAGGCACGTGAATGCCCCATGAGATGGGGAGAAAGAATGAAGACGCGGCTTCCATTACCACGCCGCGTTGAGAGAAAACGAAGATTATTTTTGCTCCTTTCCATTCGAGGTGGATGGTCATTGGAAGAGTCATCGTTATTCCTTTCTGCGACTTTCGTTAGTGAGGAAAGGAGCTTAAAGTGAAGAATACTCCAATGGCTGGCCCCTGAATCGCTGCTATAGTTGGCTTTCGATATCTGTGGATAGCAAGTGCGACTCTTCCACCCCTATTTCTTTTCGTTAGCGACTACAATTCATTTCTCTGTTCTCTAATGGCAGTTCCACTGAGCACGTGTCAACTTTTCAGAACTTCCCCATCTCTATGCTCTTTCCCTGCAATTCCTTCAGTTCTCTCAAGTCCAATTCCCAAATCAGTACCTGCATAAAAGTTATTTCCTTTACTAGTTATAGTAATGGCCTTTACTCTGTTATCCTGATCCAGCGTATTGAATGCTCGGACGAGATCATGTTCCATGACTGAGGTGAACACATTGTTCTTCTCGATTCTGGGCATTCTGATGATGGCCACTGGGGTGGCAGTCGATGAGGAATCAGGACGGTGCAAGAGTGTGATTTGTGAGAGGACTATTGGGGTTGAGTATGAGCGTGGCGGGGCAGGGGGGACAACTATTTTGGGTTTCATATGTCATTAATCCTCTGGAACAAGGGGGCGGTTAAGTTGGAATATCAAAATCATTGGTCGGCCATCGCAAGCATGAATTCTGTTTTGTCAATGAAGTTATCGAGGGTATCGAGGAGGGGTGCAGTTGTCGTAAACTTGAGGCTGCTGGCCTCGGCACAGCCCTCGGGAATAGCCTTGCAGCCCCGCCTTTGTCACACAAGAGTAACATCTTTTGCAAACCACTTCCATATAATCCACGACTGCGGATTGTTTCAAGCATCAATTCATCTGCGTTTCGACTGCCGTGTGCATAGCTCATTGGAATCGCTTTCCCCATCGACGGATTCAATCACCGTTTTGAGGACTTCAAGTGGCATCGAGACCAGCTTTCATCACTACGCTCTATCTTGCGCATCACAATCGAAAAGTGGCTTTCATTTGAAGGAACCTTCGTCTCGCCTGTCCTAATTTCTCTATGCTCTTGTTGTCAAGATCATTGTATCTTTACCCCTTTCTTCCAAGGTCAGCCTTGTCTTAGCCTTGCAGCGCCACCGCGGCCATGACATCATGACCCCCGTTTCCTCTCTACGGTCCCCAGACTTCCTTTCTACTCATTATTCCATTCAATAATTATTCCCCCTTTGTAACTAACAAGCCTCCAATCATAATTCATCCAAAATCTCAGCACAAAACGCAAGGTCACCCTCCATGCTTGGTGGTCACGTTCAATATGCTAAAGGCTACACGGAAGAGACAAGTGAGATCCTCAGAACATCAAACCATTGCGTACTTGGGTTCAATAAATTGATACCGAGACAGTTGGCAACGTGACGGGATCAAAGGAGTGGCAGGAGAACGGGAAGAAGGATACACAGGAGGGAATCAACGAGATGAAAGTACGGTTTCCCACTTTTTAATCTTGCTTCCAGGGGTTTTTTCCCTAGGGTATTTGATTGCTGACCCTGGGCCAAACAGGCAGCGAACGCAGCGAAGGCCTCGGAACCTGCAGCAAGCGGTATTGGCGGACGAGTTGAGGAGCTGGCTGGAAAAGCGGCGGGTTGTGAGGGTATGGAGAAGGAAGGATTGGAAAGACAGGAGAAGGCAAATTGATATAGGATGTAAAGCTAGGGATTACAAGTCCACTCTATACACTTGCGTGTGTTCTTTATATCAATTGTTAACCTGGCCGGGAAATTTGTGGATCCATTTCAGTGTTGCACAACTTGGGAAAGTGCCAGCGAGCCATTGTCAACAATGTCATCCGGTTACAAAATAGCTTGGAAGGGTTTATTCCATACTCTTCTGCGTCCCATGGTTTCAGGAATCTTTGATGCTTACCCGACGCTCAAGATTATTATAGGTATTGCGGGGAGGGATTGCCATCTATGCTGAGGAAGATTGATCAGCAGATGAGGCATTTCGTTCTGCTGGCGGGCGAAGACGACGATGGAGGTGAATTAGGAGGACTTTTAGGTTACGACGAGGGGTGTGCAGGATAATTGGACGCCGATGGAGACTTTGAGGAGTGTGGTAGAGGATCGAGTCATGTTTAGTGCGGATTGTCAGTCCTACAGTAGGATGATTTAGAGATGACGGTTTGGTTTGGTAGGGTGCAGTTGACTGGGAGGACGAAGAGGAAGAAGAGGAAGATTGGGTGTGAAAATGCGAGGGCGTTGTTGGGGCGTCCAGCCTATAGAAAGTGACGGAGAACAAGTTTTGCACTTTCTCGCCCCACTTTTCTCAAATTTGTTAGTAGGCAGCTCCCGAAACGATCCCCCTTTTCGATAAGCGAGGTTCGATAGCACTTCAAAAGTTCGGAACAAGAACGACTATCGGCTCAAAAAGGAGTATAACTTCAGTATAACTTCAGAATCTCAAAATAATTGAAACCGAATTCCAATTAATTCTAAGTATCCCTTTAGCTGATTGCAGATGAAGAATCAACAAATTATATGGGGTGATGCGGGGTTAATATTACCTGTTTCTGGTGTTCTACGGCAGTAAAATGCTGGCAATACTGCTGCTGTTGAACCGGCTGGTTGGGAGAGTTCAAGCCACCGCACAGGCTCCTTTGTGCCTTATCTCTCTTCTTTTCTTCTTTTCGATTCCATCATCTTACCGCCCCAGCTGCTGCCTAGTGTCTTGGCGGGGATGCGGCTGAGAGACAAAACGTCGGGACTTCCTGCTACTGGAGTGTTCTGTTAACCTGACTCAATTCTACGGACATCTGTACAGACTGTTTCTCCTGTCCCCATTTCCAAGTTCGTGTGGCGATGGAGCGAAAACGAGATACAATGAAAGCCAGATTGAAAAAGTTTGTCAGGGTGTCAACCGGCAGTAGTGCTCCCTATCGATACAAGTCACTCTCTCTCGACGACTCAATTCGCGTGCTCGAGCTCAAGCCTGCAGCCTCCCCTCAAATCCCGATTCACTGCAGCTTGACGGAGATCAAATTATCTCCGAAGGCTCAATATGAAGCTTTGTCGTACGTTTGGGGCCCAGATGAATTTCCTGAGACCTTGAATCTCCCCGACGGGCACCTCAAGATCACAAAAAATCTCGCATCAGCATTGAGAAGCCTCCGGATGACCAACAGGCCGAGGATTCTTTGGGTTGACGCCGTGTGTATCAATCAATCTGACGACATAGAGAAAGGATCTCAAGTTGGGAGGATGGCAAGCGTCTACAAGAACGCTTCTGGAGTCATTGCTTGGCTAGGAGATGATTCAAAAGAAACCCCTGTTGCCATGGAAGCTATCGTAGCTCTGTCTCAAACTGCAAAGGACCTGGGTCTAGGTACCTCGGTGGCAGGCCAAAGAGATATCCTCGTTGCCGCGTTACGCCAAAGAACCATCACACTGGCTACAGTAGTGGACTTCGGGGGGACCGCACAAAGAGCCAACTTCTCGCTCCTGTACGGGAATGACTGGTTCACTCGCATGTGGATTGTCCAAGAAGCGTTGCTGGCAACTCGTTTGACTTTTTACCGCGGCTCGAAGTCTCTATCGTGGGAAGATTTTGAGCGTGTCATGATCCTCCTTCACACGAGAAAAGACGCAATTCATTTATCAGTGCCAAACGCGGACTCATTCCTCAAGCACGCATGGAACCTCGTTCTAGTACGAGACCACTATCAACACTCCTCTCAGCGGAAGGTAGACGGGAGATTCGACTTTGCGTATTACATGACTCAACTGAGACGAAGAGACTGCAAGGATGAACGCGATCGTCTCTATGCTTTGAAGTCTCTAATACCGGAGAGCAGTGATTTGGCCATCACGCCAGACTACAAGAAATCTGACGTCGAAGTCTTTACAGATCTCGCACTCCAACAATTACAACATGGCCATATCGAAATCCTCTATCAAGCAGGTCTCTGTCGCAACTTGGCAAGTATTTTTCATGCTATACATCTACTACCATCTGGTGCTCTCATGGCGGCGCCTGTTCCAACATGGGTCCCCGACTACCGCAAAAAGGTTACCTACGTAGGCTGGCAGCCCTTCTTCGGTGACAATTCGACTTTCCTCCCAAATCCCACCACAACACCTGCCTGCACATCTTCTCCCGACAATCCTTGGAGGCTCACCACACGGTGCGCATTTTTGGATGTCGTCAGGTTCGCTCTTCCCCTTCCATTTGTCCACGATGACAACCTACGAGCGGACCACCCCAAAATATTCTTCATGATCCGCGAAGTGCTAAAGGAGCTTTATACGACCTATATGGCGGTCCTCGGTTCACAACCTTATCTAAATGAGGAAGATCTATCGTCGGCATTCGCGCAAGCTCTTATGGGCGGCGGCACATCAGAGAAATATAGGGAGTCATTCAAGTCCGGGGTTGATGATGAAGTGCCATCTCCTCTCCAGGTATGGAAGGAATACGAAAAACAATGTCTGTCTGAGGAAGGACAGCTGTACCAAGAAATGCTGAGGGAGGTTGAATCTACTGAGCCAGCGAAACGTGTCAATAGGATTCATCAGGAGTGGTACCAGAATAGCAAGAACTCTCACGGGGCATGGGAACTCACCCATTATCTAAAGGTGGTCTTTCGGTATCATGTCTCCTTTATGACGAAGAAAGGATACATAGGTCTAGCACCACTCGGAACGAAAAAGGATACGGATGTTGTTGTGTTCGTAGATAGTTTGAAAGTTCCGTTTATACTCAGAAATGTAAGAGGAGCGGACTGGAACTTGGTGGGGCCGTGTTATGTACATGGGATTACGGACACGGAGGCTGCGAGGTCAGGGGCAGGGATGACCTTTCATATTATCTAGATAGGAGGCGAGAGACGAAAGAGATAGAGTTGTCTGATAATGCCATATTATCCCCCCCTTTACAGTTAGCAAGGTATGTAGAACACTTCAAAATTTCGAAATAAGAAGGGTCCTTATCTCTATGTAAAACTTGACTTCGGGCTTTGCAAGTATTGAATATGAAATCCAGATAATTGTAAGAGTCGGGGTTTATGTGTAACAGTTGAAAATAAGCGAGGTAGTTTCCACACCATGGCACATGCTAGGCCATGTCATCCAGGCTCGGTGATGCCGTGCGAGATCGATCCTGGCTCGTATTAGTTAATACTATTAGAACCAAGGGCCGCATAAGCAGGTGTAAATGCAAAGAGTAAAAGCAAGACTTCGGTAGAAATCTATATAAGATATATTTTTGAAATCTTGGAGGGGTCCCGGCTCCGGACCCCCTCTAGGTAACAAAGCTACACAAGAGAAAGTATTCCTTTAGAAGAGGAGAGTATTTATTCTTGGGGAATGGCCCCTCAAAGCCTTCCCTCTAAGGAAAGCAAGAAGTAAAAAAGGTAAGAAGGGTATTTAGTCTGGATTATTACGTGATACCAATCACGTGGCAATACCTCACGTGACTTTTGTATAGCTAGTGCTTAAAATCTGCTCGTTCGGTCGGGCTCACCTGGGTTCTCGCTTAGCACGCTTACCAGGTGAGGGAGGGCAATACGTAAAAACCAGCAATGCGCAAATCACCGCAAAAATTAGCATGGGGAAATTTGACCCCGCCCCTCCCCCCACCACAACCACGGATTTTTGGCTCTAAATTTTAGAGGGTAGAAGTTTCAGTATTAAGAAACTATTCCCACTTCTTAACGAGTTATTAATTGCGTACCGTTGCTCCCCGTGCAATCATACACAGTAACACAAACGTCTTTAGAATTGGTAATCTATTATATTTTCATCATGAACCGTAGCGTAGAGCACCAGACTTAAGCATCTCCAACTCCTTCACTCCTCTGTTTTCACCTCACTTGAGCTTTTCAGTGGAATCTTGTGTAACCTGCTGCCCCCGGTCGTGCCTCTCCACTTCGAGCGAGCAGAGCAAGCCCCACAATGCACAAGAGAGGCATGCATGGACAATGCCCGCCATCGTAACTGAGTTTTATTGGTCCTCTCAATCTTCGACATGCTCCGCAGCACACTCGTAATGCAACCTCGCGATGCAAGCTAGGGTTCCAGCCGCTATTCGTTGCTATAAGACTTATTCCCAGCTACCGAGCTACCTTGCTTCGAAGTCACAAGGTCATCTCAACGCCTTCAATTGCACCAGCAATGTTTTCATCTCACTTACGTAGCTAGAGTCGTTGACGATGCTAAATTATTCTCTAGCAATTCTTTTCCTTGGGCTGCTTTTGGGGGTAAAATCGGACCCAGGGACATCCCGGAGCCCTTCACACAATGGTCCGGCTGGGGAGGTAACTATCACAACAATGCATGGGCTAGTCAAAACAGACAGATTTCCTCCTCCAACATCAAGTCTGCCATAGCCTCATGCAATGTCTCATACCACATTGGCGTCAGTGCAACACCAGTGGTCTTTGGAAACACCGTCTATTATCCGACTTAGAATGGCTCCTTTGCCGCCCTCGATTATGTCTCCTGCCGAATTCTCTAGCAAGTCAACGTCACGGACATTATTGAAAACTATGCTTCGTTTATTACCATTCCATTTGGTCCCCATCCTGTGTCACGCACGAGTCCGCAAATTGAAGGTAATATTCTTTTCTTCGGAACCCTCAACACGCGCTGGCGTTGCAGTCAATCGCCTGACGGGCGTACTCCTCTCCACCATCCAGATTAATCGACCGACATCCCATGGCAGTCGTGATGATGTCTCCAAAATTCTTTGACGGCATGCTGTTCATCGGGGCTTCGAGTGTGGAAGAGAACCTCACTCTCCAACCCACTTACCCCTGTTGCTCGTTCGTTGGAAACATGCTTGCGCTGGCCTTCGATGGCAAGGAATTCCACGTTCTCTGGAACATCCCGATGATACCAGAAGCTCAAGCGCTCTAGGCTGGTCTGGAGCTGCTCTGTGGGGCAGCCAACCAGCAATTGACACCAACCGTCGTCAGGTCTTCGTTGCAACCGGGAACTCCTACTCCCTTCCCGAAGTGATCATCCAATGTCAACACGACACTCAAAACATCGCGGCCGTTGTTCAGGGCCTCGTCCCTGATTCTTGTCTCCCAGCGGATATCTGGCAAGAATCAGTGCTCGCCATTGACATTGACCTCGGAATCATGAACTGGGTCCACCAACTTCCACCTCTTGATGCTTATTCCGCCGGTTGCGGATTCCCAGGCATAAGGCCTCCAAACATAACTTTATGTCCAGAGGTCCCAGGACTGGATACTAGTTTCGCCATGGCTCCTGCGTTTGTACTTGGATCTTCATCCACGCCTTATGGTAAGGATACGTTGGTGATAGGACAGAAGAATGGGAATCTTACGCCATGTCTGCACAAGCTGGGACAATTTTCTGGACAACGGTCACGAGCCCGGATGGCATTGGAGGTGGCTTGAGCTGGGGGTTAGCGGTCGTTGATAGTCGGGTATACTTCGTTGCCACGAACTCTGGTGAAGAGACGTGGAGAATGCAGCCTTCGAACGAGGTGACGAACAGAAGTGCCTATGGAGCTGCATCGCTCTTGACTGGAGCCTTGTTGTGGGAAGTTGCTGTCCTGGCGAATGGTGTGGCTTATGGATATCCTAGTGTTGGAGATTTGGTGATTGTGGGGAGGACGGGCAGTGATCCAAATGGGACGCGAATTATGATGCGACTCAGGGGGGACTAGTGGCGACTGACAAGGCAACAGGGGTTGTGCTGCTGGATCATTGGTTGAGTAAGAATTTTCATAGAGGTGTTGCTATTCAAGACCGGTATATACTTTTTGGGACGGGGTACTGGGGTTTCGGTTCCCCAGGAGATGCTCCGGGGGCGATCAATGTAATGCGAGTTGGATAGTGAGGTTGTGAATAATGTCAGAATTCAACAATGAAAACAAAATTGCAAGTGTGAGGCAGAGGAGGTAAACAAACGTGCAACAAAACTTTCGGATATGGCGTGAATCTGAGCAGAAGGGGTCCATGACTTGAAAGGGACTTTGGGCGAGTTGTCAATAGCATTTCATAGAAAATGAGCGCTTCTTGTAATGGGAAAGTGACTATGGGCGTTGAGCACTTCTCAATGTTTAGCGAGGTCTCTGGGATTAACTTTGAAAGCTTGAGCTGATTCTTGGTCTTACGCAATTGCTATCGCAGCTGTTTTGGTCATCCCTGCATCGGAAAAGCCAACGCATTGGTGAACCGTCGGAAAGAGGATTGGAAACGCTCTGGACTTCATTTGAAGTGCATTACCCTCCTAGGTGGAGTTTACGGGCTGCACCAGAGAAGCAGCTTCGACACGACACCTCAGAAGCTCATCTCCGACGGCCGTCCATCGACAAAGAGGGCTACCAATTCCCAACATGAATTTGGACCTGAGCACGACGTGGTAACTCCAAATCATGGGAGTCGTAAGATCATGTCTGCTCAAGGTGCATACTCGCAACGCGAACAAGACTTCGGGTTTTCCGTTATGGAGTGACGTCTTCAGCCCTTCTTTTCCATCCTACTTTTCGCAAACTTCTCATGCCATTTGTTGACCTTGGGTGGAGCTTTTCCTTCTTGGAGTATCAACTCAATTGTATCCTCAATCTTCGCAATTGCCGTAACTGATGGCACAGGAATGAACATGTTTGCATCGTCTGCTTCAGTAGGACCAGTTGATGAAGGTTTTAACACCAAAATTGGATTAGAGGTGTTCTTTTGTCGCATCTGATATCTCTTCTCGCCATAGGAGAGGATTGCGTAGCCCGGGGTTGTTTCGGTAGATGCAGAGGAAGTGACAGTCAATCTGCAGAACACTTTAGCCTGGTTGACGGCAGAAGGAGGGGATGAGCACACATCGGTGGGTTGTCGGATTCCAGGAGAGCTAGCAGCTCAGGGGGAAGCTCCAGCAGCTTGAATGCTTGCTGGCGATGGCTCGATGAGAATGGAATGTCGGTGGTGTATTGTGTTCCCATCTTGCTCTCCCAGAATGCCTCTGTGAAGCGTCCTGGTCTACAATATCCCGATATGCACCTCAAGGGGTGAGTTGTATGACGGTTGTTTCGTGTTGAATGGAATGGCGGGGTTGAAGAAAATCGCGTGTTGACAGGGCTCGAAATCCAGCCAATCATCGCGTTGAGACTCCCTGCCTTGTCCTCAAAAAATATTCTCCGAAGGACTTGCCCAAAGATAAAGAAGGGTCCCACGCTGAGGAGAGACTTTAGTTCGACAAGTCCATCCTGGAGGCTGCAGCTGCAGAAGCACCATCGAGTTCTGTGTGCCCGAACGACTGGTCCGGCTGGTTCATGCAGCTTCAACGAAAAACACGGTACCGCTCGACGCGTCAACTTGTTTTTCTTGAAAGCTTTCCCACCCAACCAGATGTTCTACCACAAAAGAAACGCAGCGTCCAACGACACAGAATTCGACACCCACGCCAATTGATCCGTCATCCCCGAGGCTTCATCGTCATGAAGGGCGAGGCCCATTGACCGACCCGGACTAGCCATCGACGACAAACTCAAAATGGTTCGAGTCACCGACGAGCTGACCTTGTCGCGAGACCAAGTCAGTCTCTACCACACCACCGACCCGTACTTAGGCAATCTGCCTGTCTTCGCCTTCCACGGCCCCTCCACGACCTCCAATTCCACCCTCAACAGCTCCCGAATCCAAATCCACTTCTTTACTGCTGCTGGATTTCAAAGCTACGCACGCATTACCATCTCTCCGAACTCGCACTTCTACCAATCGGTGAACCACCTTCCACGAGACAAGCAAGGAGATGAAATATGTCGGGGGCTCGCGTTTGGACTCTTGAAATACTTCAAGGAGTTGCCAGAGGTTGTCAAAACTGGCCTGATCTTCCAATCCACGAATTCTCGTGGAAAGAGACCTGGCTCGGCTCCTACACTCTTCGGAGAACAACATGCGGCAGATTTGGCGAGCTCTATGGTTAAGGTGGAGAACATTGGGGAGGTCATTCAAGACATTGAGTCTGCCTTGCGTCCGCAGAACATCAACCATCTTGATATCGACCTCGTGCTTCCACCAGGCTCGATTGTCCCAGTGAAGGAAGAAGAAATTGAAGAACACAACGAAGACGAGGAACTTCCGGATCCGACTTTGAAGCAATATGGCGCTTACTCTCCGCTGATCAAGCTCTTCGGCGAAGTCACGTTTCTACCCACGTCAAAGCTACGACGCGCTCCCTCGAGGCCGACTTCCGTCAACCGTTCGAGGTCTTTTCTCAAGGACCAGAAGTTGTCCCTACGCCGAGAGATGGGTGAATTGGTAGATACAGAGGAGAGATATGTCATCAAGATGCACGAGCTGGTCAATCATATGGCTGACGACTTCCGAGTGAAGGCAAAGAATCGAGAATTTGGCAGTTTCAGCCCATCGGAGCAAGATCTCGAAAAACTCTTCCCTCGGTGTCTTGACAGAATTCTGCGGATCAACTCTGCCTTCTTAGCCGATATTCGGAAAGTTATGGATGAGACAGAGGAGGATGCTATGCGTGATCTTGAAGCCCCCATTGTCAGCTCTACTGGTTCAAGATACGGCGGTACTGGTCGCTTGAAGGATCCCACCGGAGCACTTGCATTTGCCAAAGTTCTTCTTGAGTGGTTCCCCCAGTTCTCGGATTGTTACCAAGAGTATATTCGAGCTAGTCAGGACTTTCCACAAATTATCACTTCGTTCATGAGGCAGCCTTCGAGTTTTAGAGAACGAGTTCAGCAAACTGGCGAGCAACGACTTCGATCAGCTGTGATTGAGCCTGTTCAGCGCTTGCCACGGTACAGTCTCTTCATTGATAACATTGTCAACTATCTACCCGTACTTCACCCGGCATTGCAGCCTTTGCTCAAAGCTAGGGATATCATCACATCCATTTGTTCACTGGACCCGCCAACAACAGACAAGTCTCAGGTTGTCAATAGACTTCGGAATTTGATCGACTCATGGCCGTCATCATTGCACCCCCAAGGTCGACTTATCACCGCTGTCGATTTCGTAGAGCTCGCAGCTCCTTTCCACCCCGCAACCAATGGCAATGTTAGGGAGGGGATATTTCTGCTGTTTGCGGACTGTGTTGTTCTGTTGAAGAAAGCTGGAGAATGCAATCTTTCAGCAAGAGGTCTTATGGCAGAAGTCGATAAGCCATCTGCTGCCACCATGATGGCATCTGTGACTGCTGCTGCAGGCGGACAGAAGAGGGCCTACGAGCTTACATTCTGTGGTTGGCATGTTCTAGGCGATGCTCGCTTCACGATGTCTGATGATGGCCGCACTGTTGCAATGGTATCGTTGCATGAATTGAAGGACCCAGCAACAGGTCGGGAGAGGACGTCTCCAGCGGCCACTATCCGGAACTTTCTATTACAAACTGCATATGACGGAAAGGCGTTGAAGTTTACTGAAGAGATCACTAAAGCTAGAGTGGAGGGCAGATTTTCGGAGGCTGAACGAGAGATAGAGAAGTGGTGCTTGAGGTCCATCAAGTTGCAAGCCGTAGAAGTCACACTCCATACCGCAATATTTGAGGAGGGTATTGACACCTTGATCGAAGGCCGAAAGGAGCCAGCATCCATCCGCATAGTCATCGACCACGAGAGAGGCACCAAGGGTGCACCAGTAGGCCACTACGGTGTTGACATTGTCGCCAATGTGAAAGTGATGGGGGGTGGGTTGAAATATAGACTCGAAGTTAGCGGGCTCAATGAGAAAGTTTTCGTGGACGAGGTTGTTGTAGAGCATCTGTTGCCCACCTTCACAAAGAGAGGTATATTCTCACCACCGCTGAAATGTTCAAGCCTGACTGATATCTAATAGCAAACGACTTACTTCGAGTACAATATGTTATAAGCAACCCAGCCCTCGCAGCACCCTTCACCTCATTCCATTCGAAGATTCTCAAGTCGATTCGCGTTGTTGCTGAAGGCGATAAATCGAAATCCTTCCGTCCACCCTCACCAGTCAAGCTGCTTTCAAGTTTCCTCAGTAGTGGTTTCAATAGTTCAACAACCTCCCTCAGCCACTCCGCATCTCTCTCCTCAAAGCAGCAAAGAACTCCGGTTATAGGCAACGTTCCCTCACTGCCGCTATTGTCGAGAAACAATAGCGCACATTCCATCCAGGACGTCGATTTCAGAAGCAGTCTTCGTACCGGAGACGAAAAGCCCACCAATCCTCTAGTCCGACTTGAAGAGACTTTCACTGGCTATATTGCAGCTCTCCAAGTTCGAAAGGGTAACGTCATTGGGAGAGTGCTGAGAAGTCGCGGAATGGCGGACGAACTGGCCATCAATGCTGTATACAACACATTCATCGAGAATCCTTTCGATCAGCGGACTGCTTCCGAAGTCTCATTCGATGTCCTGTTTGTTGCCTTCGAGAAATACTTGCGGATGGCATGGAAAGATCAGATGGGTCAAGTCATGTCGGTGGCGACTTTGGATGCATTGCAAGACAGAGCTTTGAAGATGTTCCCTGGAGACTTCGCCGATTACGTCAAGATGGTCTTTGGTGAGATGGCACCGCAAAATCGACGAGCCTTCATTGCTATCATCAAACTGTTAGCAGATCTTCTCGATGGTTGTGGAAATGATGGGGACCGAGGTGCTTTAACAGCTGCGTTTGCAGAGCTGCTGGTAATTGACGGCCAGCCTCATGACTACATCAACCTGCTGGATCGTATGGTAGAGGACCAAGAGCGACTCTTTGAGGATATAGGTCCAGGCGCTGTAAATGGTTCTGGTTCTGGTAATGGCTCCGTCTTCGGGTCAGTTTCTGGTGGTCGATCGAATCACTCTGCCACTGGTTCACTGACATCGAATGCATCATCTTTGCGGAAGAGATTTGCCGATACCTTGCTCAGGCAGAACAGCACCAAGGATAATGACCGTCCCTCAGTCTGGCGAACCTTGAGCAAGAGCAGCCGCAGTATTGCCACTGGAGAATCCATGACTTCTTCAAGTCTTTCAAAGGTCTCCCTCAATCGCTCAAGATCAATCGAGTCTCCACATAGGCGACCTGCTTCGCGGGATCGGCCTACGGTTATGGGCGCTTTTGATGAGCGGCCTTCCAGCTCGCAGGGTCCTGTCAACAAACTCATTACGATCGGTGAATCCCCGCCTCCGGATGAGAAGGACACTGCCCAATCACTCAAGAAGAAGAGACGAAGCTCTCTTTCTGATTTGAAATCTTTGATGGCACAAGCAACTCTCAGTGGGAGCTCTCCATCACCCTCACCACTCCGCGGACTAAAGCTCAACACATCTCCACGAACTCCATCACCAACAAAGATTCCTGTCGCTGGTGGAATTATGGACAGAAATCGGCCTGCGTTGTACAGCACAGGCTCACCGAATCAGAAGGAGAATTTACCATTGAACTCTTCTGCGCCCAGGAATATTGGCAATCTGACTGAACGACCACAGAACATCATGTCGACCCCTGACACGATAGTGGTCAAGGATCTTTGGTCTGGCGGAGCAAAAAGCCACCAAAAGACCGCATCACTCTCATCCAACATCCCCACCCTCCGCGGCCGAGGACCCTCGGCATCCCGACCCACAAGCAGCCCAGGCAAACACTCACCCCAAAAGCTGCGACTACAATCCCCGGCCAAGCTACGCGAGCGTCTCCAAAACGAAGCTAAAGCAATCAATGAAGCCGAAGCCTCCCTACAAAACGAGCTTTCAAAAATTGGCGAAGAAATGGCCAAGTTAAACGCCAGCTCCAACTCCCCAACCCGTTCCACGGACCTGCAAAAGCTCTCCGGCGCCATCACAGCCCTCGAGACCCGTATCCCGGAAATCGTCAAAGACCTGACCACCCGCAACGACGCCGTCAAGTCTGATCTCGAGAAAAGCCTGCAGGCATGCGAGTTCAAGGTCAAGGGGCTGGATCAGCTGTACAAAGAGAGCAGCGCGGAGAACGAGCTGCTGTATGAAAAGTTCAATGCCGAGCTAGGGAAGATTGTGCGTGCGTTAAGGGGCAAGGGCAAGGAGGAGAAAGAAGATTTGGTTGCGAAGGCGAAGGAGGGCAGTGAGGAGACGGCGAGGGTCAAGAAGGAGAATGCGAGGTTGAAGAGGGAGGTTTTGACGCTACGGACGCTGTTGAAGGGGAATGAATGCTTGGCGTGTGTTGGTGCTGGTGCTGTGGTCTTCGAGGGAATTAAGAAGGCGCAGAAAGGAGGAGAGATATGAGTGTTTTGTGAGAGTCACTTATCGGAGGTTGTTTCAGCGGGCGTTTCGAGCATGCATGGTGTTTGTTTGTTTGTCTGTTTGTTTAGGTATGAGATCCGATCCACTGCTTATAAGGATGAAGTGTGGGGTATTGTACAGTACGTTACGAAAGCAACGGAGGAAGGAGAACGGCGTGTACGTACTGTATGTACAGACAGCAAGCACAAATGAATGAATGATGATCAACAAGAACCCCTTTTTGGATCTTAGCATCACGTGCTGTCGTGAGTCACCCCTTCATACTCGATTCTCGCGACTCACCACTCAACCTCAAGAAACAAATCAATCAATTAAGCGGAATGGCTTCTAATCCTCCACTTCCGATTCCAGAATCGGTCAATCTCGTACTCCAGCAAGCGAAGGCGCAGAATCAACGCCTAGTCCTCTTAACCTGCGGCATATCAGGCTCGGGAAAATCCTCACTCGCCCTTTCCATCGTGGAGCAATACCCGAATTTCGTAAGATTGAGCATTGACAAGTATATTTTTGAGAATCACGGGGTGTATGGGAGAGATTATACAGAGGATGGGTATGAGGGGTTGCAGGAGGAGGCACACGAGAGGCTCGAGGGGGAGCTGGGGAACTTGATGATAGCGGGCGAGAAGGGGGTTGGGGGTGGGGAGAGAGATGTGGTTGTTGATTTGAGTTTTTGGAGGAAGGAGGAGCGGGGGTGGTGGAGGGGGAGGGTGACGGAGCTGGGGAAGGGGAAGTACGGGGTTGTGTTGGTGGTTTTCAGGGGGAGTGAGGAGGTGCTGTGGGAGAGGATTAGAGGGAGAGAGGAGAGGTGGAAGGGAGAGGGGTTGGGTGAGGGAAGGCCGGTTGGAAGGGAGCTATTGGGGCAGTTCGTGAGACGGTTCGAGTGGCCGGATGGAGAGGGGGGGATTGTTGTTGATGTTGTTTAGAGTGGTGACTGGGCTACAGGCGGGAGGAATGTGGACGAGAAGGAAAGAAAGGGGCTCAATCAGGTCGGATTCGCCCTCACGAGATGAGTATTACGAGGCTTTTAGTGCTTACATTCATTTTGTTCTTAGATTTCTAGTTACATTGAGAGGACCTGTTGACCATTTTAGAAAACCGTCGAGCGGTAGTTAGGTTTGGCCGAGTGTCTCGACGTTGGAAGAGATTTATTTAATTTGCGGCGTCCAGAGATAGCAAAGTCTATGCTATGCTTAGGGTCTGTCAGGCGGAACAGCAGCCGATCGTGGGGTTGCACTGCCTCGAAGGGAATCCAAGAGGCACAAATCATATTAACACATCTACGAATCTCGGAGTTTGCTTTCACTTCAAAAGATACGAGGCGAAGACGCCCGAAACAAAGAAGCTCCAGGTTAATTCTAACATCTAAGAGAAGTTTAGGTACAAATTTCCGAGAACCTGGACTTGGGGCAGCCAAACAGAGGACACTCCGGCTTATCCGCACCGCATCCGACTTCTCAATTAATTTAATTAAGTGAGATACAACGCAACGCGGAATAGAGGCATTTCTTGTTTAGATTATCATTTGAGCAAAGTCTCCTTGCATGACTACGATTGGTATCAATTGTGCCCAACATCAACAAACTCCTTTATCATTTCGGCGCCGCACCCGACCTCCCCACCAAGCAATCAGCTTCACCAATCCTCAAAGAGGGAGTTTCCAGCGCCCTTTCCGCATGGCCACGGTATAACAAAAAGGCTTATGAGCCTTGTATTACAAACCAGGGGCATCGTTTACCCGCAAATTCCCAATCCGGAACATAAATCTCCGCCCAATTTTCCCGAGCCGGTTGAACCAACTGGGTTCGACAATTCAGCCTCTCGAGACGAGGACCGGAAATATATTATATTGGGTGAGTATATGGGAAATGAAAATGGCGATATTGCGTCGTTGGGAAGTATTCGGATGGTCATGAGCTAGGCACGGAGAATATAGAATAAGGGCGACGTGGGGCCCTATTTTCTGACCTGGAGAAGTACGAGACGAAAGACCTCCGTTTGCTCAGGTAGGAATATTGTGACGAAGACGTACGAGCAACGGAAATACCAAAAATGCAGTTCTCATCCGCGATTGTCGTCATCGCCCTTTCCGCGGTGGCAAGCACGGGCCAATTCATTTGCTTGGGCATGGCAGGAACTTCATATTTCGGGGGTTGTTGCCAGACAATCGATTCCCACACCCAAGGTCAAAATTGTAAGAGCAGATATCACTTCTGATTTCCACTACAGTCTGAGTAAAAAAATGCAGGCACTATTGCAGCACTGGGCATGATTACCGCGTTCACAGACAAGAACGGCACCACGAGTTCCGTACAACAATATCTATGCTCAGTTGCAGACAAGCCAGAAATAGCTTGCTGTCATCGCAGTACTTTGTATTTGGTATATTGCACCCTCGCTGATTTTAGGTGATCTTGGAGGTGGGCAGGAACAGGCTGACGGGGGGAAAGGTCCATGATCATCCACCGCTGATTTGTACCAACCAAACGAGTGTCGCGTAGGAGATTGAATTGAGGAGGGGAAGACGGTATACAAGAAATTTGGTCAAAGACAAAAGGGCTTTTTTCAATTGGTAGAAACATGTGATTTGGTTGTGCCGATTGGGTGTTACTCGAGCAGACTCTGCTCGGCAAAGGGTTCCGCCATCGAGGGGTTCGAAACCAATTTTCACATGTCCTCGTTTGAAGAAAGCTTGTATATTAAATTTACTATTTAATGCCTAGTTTCTGATTCCCGGGCAGAGAAGGTTGCGGGCTCATTCATTCCATCCTCCCTCTTGATTTCCATCCCGTGAGTTCGAGACGCAGCGATGTCTCGGTCGGTCGGTCGGTCAGTCTTTGGTTCGCTTTTGTCGCCAATTATATTTGAGGTGAAAAGCTTTTCCACAATGCCGAAAAAAGCAAGAGCGCTATCAGACACTTCTACATATTTCTTGGGAAGCGGGGATTTGGTCAACAGCTCTGAAGTGTTTGGGAGAACTGTACTCCTTCGGGCATCTTCTTCTACTCGCCGAATTGAAAGTCTAACGGTAGGGAGACTGACTTGCAGGAGACCAACATATGACAAGAAGCGACGCAAAGTTTCTTTGGTACGAAGGAAATACTTAGATACATCGAATACATCGTAACGATTGTGCGAGTTCGGAGTTTGCGGCTAGGTTGATGCTCAGGGTCTAAAGCTGAGTCATTGAATCGAGCTGATTTCCAAGCATCGGCATTATGAATCTTGGGAGGAAGACCCATGTAGAGTATTTATGTCATGTATTATTGGTGGGACAGTAGCATAGCGAGGGATCGACACTTCACCAAGTTTCCTGGCCCGAGGACTTGCCTGGCTGCCTTGACACTATGAGTACACAGTCACCTCGCGGAAAGTTAAAACTTATCTTCTTAATCAACAGTCTGGAAATGAGCATGACTTAGTTTGCATGCATATCATTTAGTAATCTTACTGAACTCATTAATACTAAGATCGGAGTAGAACAGGAGTATGAGCGCAGAGGACTGCGGTACAGTGGAAATGTGTATAGACTCGAGTTACTTCGAACTACCTTCTGCCCCACCTCATGTACTCTTGGAACCTTAACTAAGACCATCCTGCCAAGCTCACCCCGCCCGTCGCCGAACTGCCCCACGAAAGTGGAGAGCCGTAGGGATGACCCTTCGAGGTTGGCGCCTCGTTTGTGGCGGAGTCCCTCGCATCCCAACGATTGGCCTGCATCCACGACCTCAAGGCTGAGGCTGAGATGGCTGCATCCATTGCAAGGGGCGAACGCAACCATTATCGCGAGGCTGACGATGAGTGGGGGTGAAAGCCATCTGAGAATTGCCCGGCCGTTGCCTTAATCATATAATTGCAGATGCAGGTACCAAGGCTGGAAACTCAACATCAGTCGGTCTCGAAGACCAATCACTACTCGAGCAATTGTCGAATCACTGCTTTCACTCTTCCTCACTGGTAGGATGTTGAAAGGTGCAGGCCTTCATTGTTGGACAGTTGAAGAATCAGGTCTCGTTGTCAGGCACTTGAAAGATGCAGGAACATAGGCTGCGAACTTTGGAAGCTCGCCGTCAATTTGTCCTCGAAAATCACGGATTGTCGAATCATTCTGCAAGATCATGAATTGTCGAATCACGGCTGTCATGATTTCTCATTGGAAGGCTTTTGAAAGATGCAGCTATCCGATTTAAATCCATTCGTGCTTCAATCTAGCCCTAATCTATTAAACCATCACACGCGTGAGCTCCAAGAACCTCTAGAGAACAGTCCGAGCACAAGGCATCTAATAATGCACCGTATTTACGCCTCATTTCGCCGATATGTGCAGACCGCTGATCCCGAAATTGACATAGTGTAGATTCAACGAGCGATGGAAACCAAACTTCAAGCGTATGAGTCGCAGTTTCCTCCATATGCGTTCGCCTGAGCCGCCAGCTACCGGCCTCCCGTGCTTCCCTGTTGTCCAGAGCCACCCTGCTGTCCTCCTTGGCCGCCCTTCGACTGTCCAGAATTGTAGGTCTCCTGGGGAAAAGAATCAGTAAATGCCCGGACATGGAACGCGAAGGTAGGCTTCTCACAGGCTTCACTCTTTTACCTGTATGCACAAAACCTCCTAATGTAGGCCCGCGGTGTCCGGCTCCTGCCTTTGGATCCGGTCAGTCGTTGCCAGAAGACCAGCAGATTTGCACCTACCTGTGGCCCATAAAAACCCACTACCGGCATAACCTGTCCGCTTGGAGGCATCTCTGAGAGGTTTGAGTCGGGATCGTGTGGGGTGAAGGGATTGTTTGCTTGCGTTGGCTTCTCCTCTCGCAGATTCGTGGTGGAGTGCCTTCCGAGTCGGTTTCTCTGACGTCGGTGTCGTTGGAGCACAAAAAACGGGAATTCACCAAGCTTAGCAATCTTTGTGGGGCCATGACTCCTCACGCCAATGCCAGTGCCAGGGTCAGTGCCGGTGCCAGTGCCAGCGCCTCAGGACCTGCGGCATTGTGGAGCACAGGCAGAGGAACAGGCGAATAATGGCTGGCCAGTCGGAATTCGTCGTAGCTCCATCATTGCTCTTTTGAGGACGCTGCCAGTGAGCCATACCACACACGAGGCGCAAAAATCACTCTTTCCTCCCCCCTCTCCCACCTCTCCCCCCCTCCCAAGAATAAGTAATTGCTAGCGTATATATTTTGGGTATAGGTGCGGGCATGGATCCAGGGTGTTTAGCCAGTGAGAAAGTGCCTTTCAAGTTGGCTGAGAGCCACTGCCAGGGCAGAAAGCCTTCTTCAACCTTCTGCCAGTTAGCTGTACCTTTGGATTGATACACAGACCGATTTTTTTGCCCCGTGCAAGACGGCCGAGTAGGACCAAACCACTCAGAAATCGTGTCCCATCGAAAACTGGGGCAGTGGAGGCCACTAGCAATTATTCTTGTGGAGGGGAGGGGGGCGGGCGACGGGGAGTACTCCGTACAACGTATTGTTTTCGCGCGTTACGGTACGCGAGCCACCCAGCGTGGCAGAAAGTTCGGCGCACAGAGGCAGTGACGAACAGACGCGGTCGAGGATTGCAGGGCGGCAGTACTGGGCAGTAGTGGGTGCACTGGGTGCAGTGTGTGCAGTGGGCTGCAACGTGCTGCAGTAGCTGCAGTAGCTGCAGAGGGCCCGCAGATGGGCACCCATAGGCTGCAACGGCGGGCCTGGATGCGCCCCCGATCGCACGGCGAGTGGCCGTCCACGGCGCCGGGCTCGGCCAGAAACAGCGGCTTGTGGAACGGCGGGTTGAGTCGAACTGCCGAGTTGGCGAGCCGGGTTGCTGTTTCCGTGCGTGCTGCTGCCGCTGCCACCAAAACTGGCTCTACTACCCACAGTGGCGTTCTTGGGCCCCTGATTTGTTGAGGCATTGTTGCTTCCGCCGCTCCGCTAGACCCTGGCAGGCTTGGCCAGTTTCCCATGCCAAGCCATGCCAAGCCAAGCCAAGCCAGGCCAGGGTCATCGCTCCCCACTCACCCAAACCTCCCCCCCCCCCCAACTTCAAAACCTTCCACATGCCCAATTATTATGGTCCATGACTGATGTCGAAGAAAGTTGATGTGGCTGGATTTCCGAGCTCTTGGGACAACAAAACTCGCTGCAGCGAAGAAAAGGCTTGGCCCGGCTCAAAATCTGTTGCTCGACTCTCATCGGTGCTTGGTGCAAGCCGCAAATTGGTGGACGACAGAAATTTCCGTCTTCGTGCGCAAGGCCGATTTGGCTGTTCGGACGGCTCGATGTTTTCTGGACTTGCCTGAAGGGCGTCCGGGAGCGGCCACAGGATAGAAACGAGGGCGAACTGGGAACACGACCTCTCGTCGTTTTGGATGGATTGAATGGCGACGAAGTGAGATGTCGGTTGCCTCGTGCTGTGACTTCGGAACGGCCGGCTCTCAAGGAGTGAAGCTTTCAAGCTGGCCTCTCGTCAAAGGCAAGACAAGCAAACTTTGAACACGAAGGAAACGATCTGAAGCCGTAGAAAGTTTGCTGCTTCTTGAGTCGAGTTCCAAGTGTTGAGTTGCAACCCACTCATGATATCAGAGGACCGTGTTGTGGGATCGGAATCCGCGGCCGAGATAGGATAGCCAGAGGTCGGTCATACTTGTGACTGGAGCAGGTTCAAGGTTCTGAGGGCTGTTTGGTTCGATCTCGCAAGAAGGGTGCAGTTGAGACTTTCACGGTCCTTGATGGTCTCCCAGAACCCCAGACGGCTTGATTATGTTGCGAGTTGGTTCTTGGATGTCAACAACCATATCCAAGCGACCTGGAGGATCAAGCATGATCGTCAGGCCCAGGGTGTAATGTGATGACGATGCTGTATCGAAGTCGAAGTACTCGTTCGGGTTGTCGCGTCAGTCTGTTGCTTAAAGATTAAACGACGGCAAGTGCATGTCGAGAGTTTGATCAGTATTTTTCAGTACCTAGGAAGGTCAGCAAATGTTCTGTTGCTTTATTCATAAAGTGTTGGATGGGAATTGCAGACATACCTGCTGGCAGAGGGCTCAGTGTGGGGCCATGTCTTCCATCGAGTGATGTCCATGGTGTTGTTTTGAGCTTGCATGATATCCCCGGTCTTTGGTACTTGCATTGTTGTTTTCTGGGTTGGGCTGCACCGAGAGGTTGTAACTCAACCCCTTAGAACGGCGAAAATGACTCCATGGGCAAGCAAGTGGTCTTAGGGACTTCCCCTAAGTCGTGCCATTCGTGTTACTACAGTTCTCGTCCTTATTCTGTGTTGTATTTTCGTTTGGAGGTACCTAAGGGTGGTACTCTGAGCTGTTGAAGGGACTGGAATTCAAGTCCGAGCAGAAGAGTTTCACGTGACATAGTGGCTTTGCGATGGCTCTCTCAAAATGAGACATCAAAAGGGTATTGACTTTGAATAATAAGTTGCCAGAATGCCGTCGCTAGGAAAGCAAGATGGTACTTTTGTTGCTGCATTTTTGTTGGCGCAAAAACCCCCACATATTTTGGGCAGCAGCCTCATCCAGGTTCCCCTATTGTCCAAAGAGCCGCAATGTTAGAGGGCGGCATCTGCCGACGCCAACGGGAGTTGTTGGCAGAGCCTCAGACCCGTGTCGCCGAGGGTGACTGCTCGTGTTCAGGGCGAGGGCGACGAGGGCGACGAGGGCGAAATCAGGATGGATTTTTGCAGCTTAGTAAGCTGCTCCTACCAATTATTGTGCTTCGGTTAGCTTGTCTTACCTTCGCAGCGGAGAGGGCGAACGCCGAAAATTGAGCTAGGATGGATTCTCAGGATGGATCTTCGGGATGAATCTCACAACGTGGGGGTTCCAAGATTTTTCATGGAAAGTGGCCAAATTTTCCCCAGCCTCCTGTGCTTCCTGCACGAGTCTCAAAGCAGTACCGACCTCTTCTCAAGTGACCATCATCACCGGTCACGTGATATACCACACCAGTGTTCTTGAACCACTTGAAATGCCCCTTTCACCTCGAGGTCCTCCCTTTTATCTGTAGATGTGTGCTCTCTTGCATAGAATGGCGTTCTATCAGCACTGTAGCAGGGCATTGGGCCAACATCTTCCAGGGCGTACACCCAAAAGTTGGATTCTGCCTCACCGCAAGATGAGATGGAAGCCATGAAGACAACCAAGTCATGGGAGGAGAGTTATGATGAGGTTATCTCGCAGAAGCCTTATATATGACAGCTTTTGCCACCGTGTTATGAATTCAGCAGTGTAACTTTGTGATGTCTGACGAACCAATTCCAGTTTTAAGGCGAAGTCATTCGTCTTCTGTCCGTTGCACTATTGACCCTTACAATCAGGCTGAGCAAGGCTTTCAACTCGACTCAACTAACGTGACCGGTGCTAGGCAACCGCCCGAAGCAAAGAGGACACTCTCATCACGATATTCCCTTCGCAGTTCGGACAGTACGGTGGTAGATTCTGGAGGCCCTTTCGAGCTCGATGATCGCAGTGGAGTCAACCAGTTGCCATGTCAAGGTAAGTACAGATCAGTAGCTTTAGGAGATGCATTGTAGTAATGGCATAGATCTTCCACAACGCTCTACGACCTGGTCAGAAAGATGCGTGAACATTATGCAATGGCTCTCTGTCTCGCCACCCAGTCAACAGCAATCACCCACAAATCCACTTGATGAGTTCCAGGCTGGATACTCTCGTTTTCAATACGAATGCTGTATGTTTCAACTGGGGCTCTCTAAATGTTTCTCTGGGATTATCATAGCTAATCAAACCAAACAGTTGACAATTACCCAGATGGTTGGCCTCGCGTTGCAGCTTTCCTAGAGAGCAGCGACTCTTTCGGAAATTATAGAAAATTTGGTCACTGCCATGCTAGACTACTTGTTGATCAGATGAGTACCATCACCGAAATGGAGCAAGAGCTCTTGGAACTGGACAGAAAGGATGCAGCTGGCGGTGAAGCCACAGATTGGCGGTTGAAGAATAGAAATCACAAAAAAGGACCCGATACCAAGAAAAGAGATCTGCAGGAGAACATCAAAAAAGAACTGCTTACTTATGGTATGGCAATTGCAATTCTTGGTTAAAAGATCCACTTGCTAAGTACCATTCTAGTTCCCCTACTCTTGAATTTCCAAAAGCTCAAGTCGCTGGACCAAACACCCGCCAGAGACCACGACAGCGTCTTCAAATGGCTTTGGACATGGAAGCCGCTCGACACTCCTGAATTCGCCTGGATTTTTCACCCTCAAGACTTCGTTTCCCTCGTTCCTCCACGCCAGAGCGGCCTCGAGAACTTCATTCTCCGTTATCTTGACAATTGGCCAAGATCTTATCTCAAGGTCCGTTCATCCCCCCTTCCTAACGGTAATCAACAAACACTTACCGAACCCCTTTCCCTTCGCCTTTAGAACCTCTTCAAAAGCAGCACGCAGCAGCACCAAACTCAAGATGCATCCGTAGCCTTCTACTCCGCATCCCGCATCAACACCTTCGCTCGCCTCATGGTTGTCTTCTTCGCCGTCCTCGTCCTCTTCATCCCCGTCATCCTGTTCTTGCTGACGTCGATGAGTCGAGCCTGCATGGCCGTCGTCGTCCTCGCATTCTGTTTTATCTTCTCGGTCATGATGGGCTTGCTCACGCATGCTGCGGACAAGGAAATCTTTGTCGGCGTTGCGACGTACTGTGCTGTTCTAGTCACGTTTTTGGGGAATTTGACACGGGCTAAGGCGTAGGATGGGGGCGTTTGGTGGCGTTTGGGGGTGTGGGGAAATGTATTTCTAAGGGTTGGGCAGGAGGGATTAGGAGTTCTTTCAATTGTTGGTTTATCGGTGAATGGGCGCTTTTGGAGCTTGTGAACACTTAAGGCTCGAAGATTACTGGAAGCAATCAAGGTCGAGATTTAGTTACCTCGATGCAACTCCCTACCCTACTCGCTTTACGTGCATTAAAATTTTTTTGCCTTTTTAATTGTATTAGCTTTATGGCTATTGGGTAGCCCTAGGGGACCAGTATAGTAGCTTGTGCAGCACGTGCTAGGTGCTATATTAAGATCATTGAGGGTGAAGTTCAAATGGAAGAATCGCGATTCGGGATTTTTGGTGTTTTTGGTCCGTGCGGCACGACTTTGCACACCCAATACAACGTATCAGGGCTATTAAATGTAGCGAGACAGGGGGGTTCAGGGTTGGCACAGACCAAAAAGTCAACAGCACGAGCTTTTCAGCGGCCTTCACTCGTTGTCTGTGGCTGGCTCGCTACATTTAATTCCCATAATACGTTGTACTCTCTCCCCCTAAATAAATGTAATAGTGGGGCCAATCTCTGATATCAGTCCTCGGAATGGTTAAAACCCTGATCAGCCACCTAGCACTGTCCATCGCGAGGTCTTCGAGAAGACGGTGGCTTTATTTACCTTGCTAAGGCTTGTTGATCCCATGGCAAAGGCTTGGAAGTAACTGGTACTATTTGCTAAACGGCAGCCACAGTATCCACTCTGGACCCACTGTTACATTTAATTACTAGTTCTGTCCACTTCGGCTGCATGCCATTACTGCCCCGGAAAGTAAATGTTGGTGATCACCCCACGCTTGTGCGTACAGGGGGGGGGGGGGGGGGGGGGGGGGGGGGGGGTGGTGCATTGTCGCAGGGATGTTGATCGGTGAGAAGAACAAATCCACTCCAGATTCTCAGTTCCTTACTCGATGCACCCTCCCTATCCAGGATTTGCAAGCCCTGTTTCAAATTCTGACCAACGCGGGGAACCAATCACACGTTCGGAGTGATAAAAACTACCCCCTCAATCTCTATTTGAGAACCCGCAACATGGGAGTCGGTGGGCTCAGCACCTCACCAGGGATACACTGCCCCGTGTTTTGGCAGAGCCGCATCGCAAGGCAGTCTTGGTGCCCGCCGGACACTAACCCAGACGCCAATCCAAATAGACCCTAATCGCAATGTTGCGGAATATCCTAGATGACAGCCCCGACAGAGACGCAACAGATGGGCCTAGTGTCAATCGAGCCCCTCAAAGCTTGTCCTGCCCCGATTGCGCACTAACCAATTTTCCCAATCTCTCAAAGCTCAAGTCAGTGTTCATTCTTGCCAACCTTGCATCTAATCACTAAAATCGAACAGCAAGCATCGGAATACACACGAAAGACCATACGAATGTCTGGCAAAAGATTGCTTCGAGCGCTTCGCTCAACGCCAGGCGCTCACCCGGCACACCGAGACTAAACACGGCGACGCGAGAAATCCTACGAAATTCTATCACTGCACCGTCGACGGCTGCAAATATTCGAGCTCGGGGCGATGGCGGAAAAGATTTACGAGGCCTGATCAGGTGAAGGAGCATATAAAAGACTACGGGCACTACGGCCCGCACTCCGCGAGCGATCGCCCACGGCGGCCGGGAAAGCGAATTTTGACGACCGAAGCGATTACGGCTCGTTTTGAAGAGTGGAGTGTGGATGAGAATGGAGACTCGCAGCCTCGACGGACGGTGCGGAGTTTTGAGTATAACTCGTTTAAGACCAGGTTGTGGCATCCGGATGTTGCAGCGGAGATATTTCTCAAGGGAGATGATGCAGGAGGAGGAGATGGGCACGTCTGCTCTGTGGAAGGTTGCTACTACCTTGGGAGGGGACGACCTGAAGGTTGTGAGAGAGTGGTGTTTAAGACGCTGAAGGCGTTGCTGGAGCACCATCGAAGGGCTCATGAATCGGGCTTAGGTCCTTCCCTTGCGATGCAAGTGAGGGAAAAGGAAAGAGGGAGTGCTCTTAGCTCGACTTCATCAGATTCTTACTCCTCCAGAACGCTATCTGTCAATTCAGACTCGCCGTATGGCCAGCTGGAGGATCTCCTGGGTTTGGGTTTCGGTACGGAAGATCCGAAAGTATGGAACGAAAACTTCGCTCCAGCTCCTTCAAGCTTCTGTAAGGCGAGTGAAGGTATCGAATGCTACTGTCAGTCTTGCTGTCAGCGCGAGATGGCCGTTCCGCTGCGTTCGGAATTTGTGGTCCCCCAGCTCCCAGGAGAGTCTTCCTACATGCACTTCACGACTCTACATAGCTCATCGAGCTTGCACGATATACAATGCCAAGTATCGGAGCCCACTACAGATACCGAAGACTATCGATTCAGCCTCCCTTCCAGCCACTCCGCATCTCTATTCCGACATGACTCACTGAATTCTCGCTCAAAGTAAGTCTTCTCCATCCTTTCCACAATGACATGAATAAAGCATAATACTCTCCAGACCCCGAGTCCCTTGCGATTTCCCCTCCTGCAAATCAACTTTCCTTCGCAAATACGAAAAGCAACGACATGTTAAAAGCGTGCACAGCTCCGCAACACCATACAGCTGCCACCTCTGCGACAGCAAATTCCGACGACAAGACAAACTCACCTCTCACGTGCAAAGTAAACACCCCGCCCACCCAACCGCGGAGTCGGAAACAAAGTCTATGATCAGTGGTTCCTCGGAGTTTCCGAGCTATAGCGCTTTGTCGGTGCCGAGTTTCCTATCAGGGAGAGATGTGGTGCCTAGTGATACCTTGGTTAGAGCGAATTCTGGCTCGGAGAGGTGGATGAGCGGAATTGGCGATGTGTTTGCAGAACGACACTCGGTGGTTGGACAGCGAAATAGCTGGTTTGGGGGGATGGGTTGGCGGCCTGATAGTCCAAAACTGATACCAGCGGGGACTAGCGAGTCGCCAATTTGTCTCGACGAAACACCACCAAGTTTTATTTAGGTGTGGGAGTATATGTTTTCAATTGCATGGGAGGAGCGAATGGAGTTAGCCGGTACCAAAGCATTTGAGTTATTGGACTCCTGACAATGAGATAGTTCCATGGGCTCTTGAAGTCCAATTGTATCGTTGCGAAAGAACTCGTGCTCTCGATAGAGGGCTATCAAAGAACGATGTTCGATCCCGATACCATGGAGGACATTGGGGCCTGCGACGATTCAGCACTTCCTCGCAGTGCAGGCTGGAAACCAAGGGCTTTCATGCTCTTGGGCTAAGACTAAATCACAACGACTCTTTGAGTCTCGAACCGGCGATTTACCGTACGAATGGGGTTGTCCTCTATCGACTAACGACCTTTCGATCCTACCACCGTGTCCTCTCGCGCGCTACGAGCCCTCCGAATATATACATACAGAGATAGAGGGAACTGGGGAAGCGTTTGGCGGAGCTGCAGGGAGGATAATTCCGTGCCCGAGGACGCTTCGTGGTTATAAGGGGGGGGGGAAGAGGTCGATATTGCGCCTTCGTACGCGCCTATACGCTGCCGTGGAAAACGAGCCTCTGGCTTTATTGCAAGAGTTGTCAAGGAGGCCTTTAATTCGCGTTGGATCACCTGGATTCGTGCTCTAAAGGGCCTGGGGATACGCTCTACGGATAGGCACACAACAGGGGCGTCATCCCAACTATCCGGGAAGGTTAGCCCTCACAAGGCCTTCCGGCTATACGCTATTGCAGTATGAACTGCTTTCTGAGGTTTATAAGGGTACTGAAACACCGCGGAATAAGGGACCTGGGGCTGTCAGGAGAAGGGAGGTCCTTTCCCCCTTGTGGTTTTGGCACCTCTTGGCAGGACTTTATATTAAATCCTTAGCTTAGCACGTCCCAATACCCTTCGGGAGGTCGCGGCCAACCATAGCCCCTGGACGTAAATAAATATCATCATCATCATGGAGGACATTGGCGGCGAGGATAAAGATATGTTAAGCGAGAGGGATCCGCTACGGGTTTTTTTCCCAGAGTACTGAAATTAGGTAATGAGAACCGAGAAAAGACTCACTTTCGAAATATTGTTGCAAAGATATGAGTGCTTCGTGCACCGGATTGAAGCGAAATCGAGGCTTGGTGATTAAAAAACCCTCAGCTAAAGCCATGGCAGACTTCAGATCCTGAAACTTCACAGTACCCACATACAGCTTCGCGACGTATCGCGAGGCGTTGCAGGGAAGTCCTCGGTGCGAGGCAGGAGCTAAGTCCATCGCCCTGAAATTGCAAGCTACCAGTTTAACCATAAATGCGTCGACTGCTTCCATCTCGTAAAAACTCGCGTTTGAGTCGATTGCTGGGGAACACAGCGGCGCTGGATCTACTGCTCTCGTTTGGAGGAAAGGACATGTATAGCTTAATGTCTAGTTTCTTATTGCCGTGCAGGTAGAAAATCTGCGAGCCAATCCCTCCGTCCCCTTTCCCTCAGGTTTTCCAATTCCTGACTGGAAAAGTAACAATGACCTGGTACTACGGCAGTCTCATGACATACAGTACCTCCATTGAACTGCAACAAACTCAGCGTCTTCATCACCATCAGGAGGGCGACAAACAGCAATTATAGCCAAACTAGTAGATCCCACTAAAGTCCTTCCGGGAGCACTTGGAAGCCAAGAACGATTGTCATGTATAGAATGAGAGCACCCAGAACACAGAGTACCGCGTAATAGATTATGGAATCGTGAATGGTCAGAGAGGGTGCTTTCACGGCGAGATTCCCAACTCGCCCAAAGGTGTCGAAGAGTAAAGGCGGGTGGTAGTGGAAGGTGTTGGCAGCCAGCCAGTGCAACAAAAAGCTACAACGGTCTGACCATGCCTAATATCCCGTCAAGCCCCAACCCCCCTGATTGATCTTGTCTGCCACTCGACCTTGCAGTAACTTCCTCGTGCAGCTCCTCCAAAACACTAGTGCATCACCTTGCAAGGGATTAACCTCTCCTGATTGCTTATTTGCTCCTGGCCTCGTTCGGCAGCCTGGAGATATTTCTTGATCATATTTGTTTTTGAGGGTTGCTTGATGATGAAGACGTAGGTGGCAACAATGACACTGTAGCCACAGAAATGGGCGAACTGGAACGAGTTAGTTGTGCCGGAATTTTGTCCAGACCTGCATTCCATACCCATGAGGCTTTACAGCTCTTGACGTTCGTCAAGAAGACGTTTATCATCTCGGTGGTGCGCAAGGCGGCATCCGAACACTTCTCTACCTTGATCGCAACTTCCTCCTCCCACTCTGCGACTAAAGGGACACAGGAACCGCTTGCAGTTCAGTACTCAGCATCATCTAATAAATACGTTCGGTATAGCAGGATCTCGACATTTGCTAAAGCGGGCTTCAACGCTCTGCTCTGAATAACTGTGAGAGTATTGCAAAGCAGAGACTCTTCCAAGTAAAGGAAAGTCGCAGCTTCTTCCTGCCGCGACCCCAACTCCATCTCAATATCTCTAACCCTGTCGCGCCGCACATTGGGGATTATAGTTCGAGGAGGATATACTCTCTTTTGCACGTGACCGACGATATTAGCAAGCCTAGTTGATGAAATATCAGTATATATTCCGAAGCCAGGGCAGGAGAGACTTACTTAATTTGACACAGTGGGGCCGGTCTTCATGGAACAGTCACGCTCAGCAACTATCATACTTGTGGGAGTGAGCATATTGTCATCAACCACAGCAGGTAACTCCTAAAAATCATGTTCGTATCACTTTGTTGTTACATTATACCTATGGCAGTGAGGCAAACTTGGCCAATAAATTCGTCCTGCATCGATTGAGGATTTCCCAAAACTACGCTCAAATATCTGTCAAGTACATATGTACCCAGAATACTCGTTTTTGACATTCAGATAGAATCAAATCCTGAGGTTGCCCCAGACTGTTGGGCGAGCCATACTTTCGCTGCAGACTGATAGCAAAGGCCAGGTTGATAACTGTGCCAAAAATAGACCAGCACTGGTGCTTTTGAGATCTCGACAGGAGATAAAAGCACTGAAGAAGTCGGGCTTGGGTTGTTGGCAAGCAAATCTCGCCCACCTCAACATCCAACTGCTTTTCTGCTGCTTGAAAGTACAGAAAACTAAGAGTCGGTCAAGTCGGTCAGTCGGCGTTTAGTAGTCGATTAGAAAAGAGTATTTCAATGTTCCAGAACTTTGGGTACATTTGAAAGGAGCGAGGAGTCTTCAATATACAATTCTGTCATACAACATTCGGACTGGTAGCTTGACTGAAATCATACCTCAGATCTGCATTGCCTTCGCTCGATTCACTATTCTCATGACTTTGGACAGCTGCCCGAATCATGAATATTACGGCGCGCTTACTGGGCGCGCGACCGGATCAGACTGAACGCCTTTATATTCTTCCAGCATGCCATTGAACCACGAGTTTAATGTAGGCATATGGACGAAATGGATTATCGGAGCAACGTTCTCGAAGTAAGGCGATACCATCTGCCGAGCTTTCGTCTCAGCAGGCAGGATAATACCTGTCACGTGCTGCGCATAGGTATATATATAGCTTCTTTACCGCCATTAGGGCTGGATCATTCTTACATATTTATACATTACACCCATATTCCACTTCCACAGCTTGTCCAGGCCGTGACAATACCGAACGGTGCATCAATATCTGGGACAGGCGGGTCGCCGAATCGAAAGATGGGGACTTTCTGGGTGTGGGCGATTCCCCGATGGAGGCTATAGCGGGTAGGTTAAAAGGGAGCCATGGACTGGGAAAGCTTGCTTGAGTTCGGTATCACGTTCTGGTGTGCTCTCCTCAGGCGGTGATTTGAGTTTGGCAGCCCGACGGGGAGGCAATCTTTATCCTAACCAAATTAGTATAGGAGTTCAACTTGCTCTTCCTATAAAAGGAATTAACATCTCGGGCCAGAGAAGACTCAGGGCGTTGGAGAGATCTAGAGCTGCACTGGCTTGTCTTCAATATTTTCAGACTCCTCAATGGCTTTTCCGCTGCCGGCCCGCCAAGTACAATTAGCGGGTGAGATATTATCCGAGGGCAATATTGCGGTTACTGACGAGTTAATAGGGTTTGCGCGGATCTCTACACATTAGAAACTCGGCACGGTCACACTTTGCTCGCATACAATATCGCTACACCAATTGGGTCTGTCATGGGCCCCATTATCTCAGGCTGGGCTGTGATGGATACATGGCGATTGCCATTCTGTATAAGCAGGACCCATCGGGGGGCCTGTATTGTAGGCGTATTGCTAGGGATGCCAGAGACAAACCACAATATCATACTAGACAACCGGGCCAAGCAGATTCGTACCAAAATGGGCAGCTTGAGCCCTCATGGTCCATGTAAATGCAAAGGAATTTGTTTGGCAAGACTTTTTAACCAAAGCGCCCATCCGGCCAACAATCATGCTCTGCAAAGAACCACTCGTCTTCTTCACCTGCATCTATCTGGCATTCGGTACGCCGTCTTCTACATATTCCTGTAGTCGTACCCAGTCATATTCGAAGGTTTGCACATCTGCTCAAAGTTATACGAGATTGAAACTGACACTGTAATAGATATATACGGCTTCAACACCGGTGAAGAGGGACTCAGCTACTTGTTCGACAGTTATACTGCTTGTTCTTCGTCGGCTAACGGAACGCCAGGCCCCAATTGGCAGTTCATGAGCGCCTGCTCTCCAATTTGCGGCAGTGCCGATATACAGAGCTCTTGGTGTAGATGGAGCAAGCAGTTTCGTTGGTTTCGTTGCTGCGGTCATGGGTACCATCCCTTTCGCATTCTGGATCTACGGGAAAGGTTGCTGAAAAAGAGCAAATGGGCACAAGAATTGACTTATGATTAAATGTACTCGAAGTTATGGAAGATTGAACCTCAAAGAGGTTGAATGTAATCTCACCAAGTTCTCCCGAATATGGACTTTTCATGTGCTTGAATGTACTAGTTTTCTAGGAACATTCAACTTCTCATACCCTTGAATGTACCGCGGCTTCCTGGAATATTTAGCAATCTCTTTTCTTTGAATGTACAGTGCCAGTTTCCCAGGGACATTGGACATGTTAGTTGTTATTCACGTGATCATCCCCCATTAGGTTAGCTCAACTGCAGAGGCATATAAACCCTCTCCTGGGCCGCACTTCTTATATTTTAGACGTCTCAATCTATACCAACTTTACTTACCCTTATATTTGAAGCCTAATTACATGCAAAACACTGCTTTGTTCACTCAAATGTCTCAGAACACCCCACATCTTTGAATGATCCAAGTTCTCCTAGAACATTTAAATTTTTATGACTTTGAGAAACTGAAACTTCACAAGCCACTTTTGCATTGTTCTAGGCAGTGTGAGAACAATGAAAGCAACGCTTTTATTTGTCTGAAATCCATGTTAAATCCAGACGAAGTCCACGCAAATTCGGTCGCTTAGCGGCTAAACACCGGTGCTCGAGCAAGGGGTAGCGAAATCAACCTGACTCAAAAACCCAGAGCCATTAGAATTCCCTCCCAGAACTGGCCCTCAATCTCCAAGCGTACCCTCAAGTGCCTCTCCCGTGACACTGTCATCATAACTCCATATCCCTCAAACTTGCCCTCCTTGATCTGAACGTCGATGTAGTACTTTTGCAAGATAGCCGTGTGAATAATACCCTCCTTGTCAGCTCCAGTTTCATTGAGAACGGTTTGTATAGCGTAGTCATAGTTCCTACCCCTAACTAAGCCCTCATGCGGGACAACTGAGCCCTTTAGCCATCCCCCAATGACATTGTAAACCCTTGCTTCCAAGTCGAAGCAGTATTGGAGGTCGACGGGTCGGTTTTGGCAAAGCAGCTCCTAAGATAGGCGATCAGTATCGCCTTCAAAAGCAATGCGCTAGCCAGGGATGGGAACTTACGAACTGGTGGCAGTACTCAAATAATAGCCAAAGGGGTGTGCCGGGAGCAGGAATGTAAGATATCGACATCTTTGCAATGGTTCGCTTCGCCTTTCGCTTCGCGGGTGAAAGTCGGTAATTGGGAAAGGGGAAACGGGTAAACGCAGGTGGATTAGCTAAACGTGCTTTCCTTGGCAGCTATTGACCCGGGTAGCAGGTAAGCTGCGGTGGTTGAGGAAATGGTCACGGGAAGACGCTGGTGGATGCGGATGAACGCACTTTGCTTTGCGGGTATCGGGTTAGGTGGTAGGCAGTAGAAGTGAATGTTGGTATCGGATGTCGGATGTCAGCAATTGATAGCGGTTGACTGGGTCTGAAGATATTTGAGGCGGGGCGTTCTCCTCTAGTGCTGTTATGCGGCCACAGGGCAGTGATGCAAGGAGATTAGATGAAAGAAGTGATAGGGAGGGACTCGCTATAAACAATACAGTCGCACTGTGTTTTAGGGTCCCAAGTTCCCTATAGCTGTCTTTTCATATATGGCATTACCTTTGAGTCTACCCAAATGTCCAACTTTATGCAAAGTAATTGAATGTATGTGCAAGGAGAGCAGACATGTATTTGCAAGGGAAGCGAGTGAGAGATATTAGATCCCCCTTGCGGCTATTTGCTTCGGGGAAGTGGGTAAGAATAGCTGGTGTTGGCGTCGGATGTCGGATGTTAGCAGTTAATAGCAGTTGACGGTTCCCGGAGGTATTTTGGAGAGGAGGGGGTCTATTTATAGTGCGGCCGCAGGGTTATAGTACTAGGATAAAGTTCCCCGCTTCACTTCCGAGTTTTATAGTAAAGGCGTTATTTAATCGCAACGCCCAATTAGCATAAATATATGTCGAATATTACGCGTATTTCTGTCTCTTTATATAGTACTTTAGCGGTAAGATCAAGGAGTTTTTAGATAATTAGTATTAGAGAAGGGGGGAAACCTTATTTTGCACCAAAATTCGCTTTATTTCAAACCCTATAGCTTTACCCTTACCAAAAATTCAACGACTTGCAATTAAATTTGATTCCAAAGAGACAAATCAATTAGAAGTGTTTGAGCTAACCTCTATTCCAATTCTTGAGTATACTTGTCATGTAAAGTTTTGGTTAAATAAATTGGTGTTCTAGTGAGTTTTGGTGCAAATCAAATCACGGGTACTTTTATCGAGATGACTGTAGCATGTAAAAGATTAGATGAAGGAGGCGGATGGCCGCGGGAGTAAGGCATGAAGGATTAGATATAAAGACATATGAGGCGGCAATACAGCCGGAAGGCAAAATGAGGGAAGGCACCTCCCCGAGCTATCGCCTCTAGTTAATGGGTAACGGGCTCAAATATTGGTATTGAATGTCGGGTATCCCCGCTTCACCGTTTCAAAAGTTGTTGAAGTATAGTAATATAGCCGCAGAAGTAGGAATTTAAAAATATGAGATAAAAGAAGATATAAAGGGTGGATTGATGTAAACGAAAAAAACTCTGCATTGTGGTTTTTATATCCTAGGTCGAGTTGGACATCGAACTCATCTTAGAGAGCATTTCGATGTTCTGAAACTTTAAGAATTGCTGAAGGGACTTGAATTTGAATGCACCATGACTTGGAGAAACATTTAATAGGAGCCGATGTATTCCAAATGTCTAACTTGACTTGGAACATTGAAAATTGGATTCTACTGTTCTTGTCCACTGAGAGGAAGGTTTCTGGGAGACAGAGCGGAATCTTTTTTAATCGTCCCAAGTTGAGCTGGACATTGGAAATACCGCCTCTCGAAAAATACATTTCCATTGTTCATTTCAAATGTTTCAAACTAAGCTTGAGATTGCAAACAGTGTGTCAAAGGAATACTCAAACTACTTAAGTTACTTAAGTATATACTCAATGAGTATTGAGTAGAGTATAAGTAGGACATATTTTGGCTGAGTAGAGTATGAGCAGGACCCACTACTCTACTCTACTCTACTCATTTGACACACTGATTGCAAACACTTCCTCTCTCCATATAAACCTACGTTGCTGCACATTCGAAATCAGCCCTCTTCAAAGATCTCAGACATTATAGAACAATCGATCTTGGGCCAAGTTGAACATTCGAAAATACTTGGGGAGTAATGAATGCTGGGTGAGATCAAAAGTTTTTCGATGCCCCAAAACAATGAAACCAAAACCACTTCCGACACGTATATTATTGCCTGCCTCTCTCAATATTCAAGCCAAAGCCAAAACGGGAACAACGAAATCACCCTATTCGAAGAGAAAGGCTTTGAAGTGAAGAAGCAGGGGAAATCTTCAAATCACGAAAAGACGGATTTTGGTTGACGTGACAGAGGCTCCAAAGTGTACAATGGATTTCAGTGGACACAACTAGAGAAGGTGAAAATGCCAGCTAGTCCAGAGCCGTGAATCAAGCCTCACTCAACCCCACCATCTTCAGAGAATCCTCCCACAACCTCGCTTCCTTCTCCTTATCAAAGGCATATTCCGCATACCCACTCTCGTGATTCTCTGTTGGAGGAGCCAAATCACAATCCTCAAAATACAGTCGTCCCTTCCCCTCATAATCCTTCCCCACAGCAGCAAGCACCGAAGTCGCAGCGCCCTGTTCCGTGCTCTTCAAAATATTCTCAACATTTGGTCTCGCCCTCCACTGCGCCATCATCTCCGCTGGAATGAACTTCTGCAACCCCGTCCATATCCCACCCGGATGAAGCGAGTACCCATGCAATCCTTTCCCCCCAAAACGATTCTCAACCTCATTCGCCATATAGATATTTGACGTCTTGCTCTGTCCGTACCCTCTCCAAGGCGTATAACTCCCATCCTCAAACCCATAATTTCCAAACTGCACTTCGGCAACCATGTGCCCAGTGGAGCTCACATTCACAACCCTCGAGTGGAACTCCGGGGTTGATGATACGATCATGGTATCCTTTAACAAATTAAAGAACAGAAAATGAGCGAGATGGTTCACCCCGAACTGGATCTCGAACCCATCTTTCGTCTTTCCCTCGGGGGCAGCCATAATCCCCGCATTATTAACAAGCACATTGAGCGTCTTGCTCTTACTCAGAAACATTTTCGCAGCGGCCAGGACACTCTCGAGAGAATTGTTGTCCATCTCAAGCAGCTCAACGCGTCCTGGTTCGAGGAAGGATTTACATGCTTCTTCTCCCTTTTTGAGGTCCCGGACTGTGAGAAATATTTTTCCTCCTGTTGCTGCGAGAGCCCGACCGGTTTCTGGGCCGATGCCTGCGGAGGCCCCGGTTACGATGAAGACTTTGTCGGGCAATTTTCCAACCAAGTTTTCATCTTTGATTATTTGGAGAGCAGTGGGGCGGGCGTCGCCGGGACCGCGGAGGTTGGAGACTCTGTGGGCTTCTGAATATTTGTTTGGCATTGGGGTGGTTGTGGAGAAGTGCTTGGTGAGGTTGAGAAGTCTTGTTGGAGCTGAGCTGCGAATGCTTTTGGGTGCAAAGATGAAGCAGAGTCATGTAAATGTGTTCAACAATGGTTGAGGAAAGAGGGAGTCGAATTAAGTCAAGTCGGAGGATGCAGGGACGGATGAAGGAGCTTAGAGGATCCTCCGTGATTAAGTCCATTAACCCCTCCTCATGCATACTGTATTACAGTAGACATGCTTACTCGTTAGGCGACGCCTCAGGGGCTGTCATTCGCTGAAACATACGAGCCTGACCGACAAGCGGTCTTGGCCACGACTTATATCCTAACCTTGAAATTTGGTTGATATGAGGATTTAACCTGATATGTGAGATTCCCGGCTTCATGGATATCTTTGCTTGTGCATGGAAGGCTGTGGCATGATTCAGCCTTCCCCACAAAGAAGTGTATCCCGTAATACGACTGACGAAGCTGCACAAAATTCGTTGCTGCTGGATTCGTATCGCGATCTGGCTCTTGACTCTTGGTACAAAGTAAATATAGTTGTACACTATATCTATGGCTCGTAGTGACTGCATTGCGGTACTTTGAGCGAAGTGTCGTGGTCGCACGTGACCATCCTCCTCGTTCCTTCCCCTTAACGCTCCCAGCTCCACACCTTCCGCAACTTAAGAATCGCGACTTCCTCAAGCGCATTGAAGTTCCCATCTAATTTACCACCTATTTCTCCATAATTTTTTTTACTAGTCTTTCATCTTCTCAACATCCATAAACACATTTCATCAAGCTCATTCAAAAACTAACTCCATTCACCACCAAACCTCACTCAAACTCATTCTTTACCTCCTCAACACCTCACAGCCATCTCAGACACCAAACCCCCTCCAATTAGCTCACGCGCGTCCTCCTCATTCACGTCCGTTTATTCTCTAGAATCTCACTCCCACAAAATTCATATACTCAGTCACGCTCCATCCCAAACACTCCACCTTCAATCTTGAGAGGGTCATGCCCGCAATCTTAACACGCTTCCAATAAGTGCGAAGGTGGAGTGGGAGGCTTCTGCTAGTCCCTGTACTGAAACTGCGAGGGTCAGTGGTGGTTTCTCGCCAGATAGGCGGCTGGGAATGTTGTGCCCCGCGGATTTGCGAGTTTGTGGAAGTGAGTGAGAGAGAGTTGGCGAAGCGTTCTGATGGCGATTTTGTGGAGCAAGAGAAGTTGAGGGCAGAGTGGCGGTACGTGACTTGGTTTGAAATGGAAGACCTACTCGAAAATGAATTGACAAAGCCGAACTAGAAGCTTCATTTCTCCAATCTTGTTAGCCCCATACACTCTCGAGCTCAACTTTCGGTTTTGTAAACGCCTGGGTAATTCGCTTTGCATTCTTTGTTGACTTCGCTAAACGAATATAAAAAAGGCTTGGGTTATTTTCCACAAATCTTGAACCTCACCCAACATCAATCACAAGCTCCTCCAACGATCCGGTCACGTCCGATGCCACACCGGAGGAGAAGCCCTTCTACTTGCCAACAGTGAGGTGGGAGAAAATTTTCGCCCTCCTTGACCTAGATGACGTTTGTTCGTCTTGCGTTAAGTAAATGGACCGACATTGCTGCCAGATTTCTCTTCCGCCCGTTTGCCTTTCCTGTCGACCGCCACGACCTCGAGAGATTCGACCTTGCCACACAAGAGAAGAGCATGCTAGCTGCGATCGACAGTATCTGCTTTGAGATCGGCACGATAGGCATCGATTTGAGAATCTTGAGCTCACAAAAGACATGGCCCTCTAGGAGTATGCAGCTTGGAATACTCGTTGGCATGAAATAAAGCAAAACTTCCGGGACTTGAGTCAGATGAAAGCCATGCTCGCAAAGTTGAAGTTTCTGCGTCGTATTGACGTCACCCTAAAGGAATCCCTTTCACCGCGTAGCTTCTGCTGGAGCCACGGATGGGAGGAAGTGCTCGAGAGAACTTTAAGCGAGCCACCAAGGAATTTTCTACGCTGCTCATGGTACTCCAAGGTTGTTCTTGTCAGATCAAACACCTGAGCCACGACGAGGTACCTATCACATTCTTCCATGAAAGAATCGTTGCTTCGTAACCTCGCATCCTCGTTACAACAACTCACTAGTCTTCGTCTCACAATTGACGCGCAATGTGTTCCCTCATTCCAGATGTTGGAATGGACTTGGGCACTTCTTATGATCAATTTCAAACCTGATGAGTTTACGTTTTGGCTTCGCCCCCTTCGACGATGGTGCTATTCAGTACGGCACATGGACAAGTGCTGAATGAGAAAGTTGTTCCAATGGTATGCTCCACTTTGTAGAATGCTTGGAGATCATACGTGGAAGAGCCTGAGCCGTTTGAGATCGGATGGCTTGCTGGTGTGCGAGGCAGGCTTGTCGGAGTTTCTCGGCCGTCATGCTGTGACTCTTCGTTATCTGGATCTTTTCGAGCTTGGACTTTGGGAAAGCAACTTCGAAGCCATTGACGAGCCTCAAGGTAGAATTGTCTTTGAAGAAGTTTAGACTCCGGGGAGAAATTAGAGGCCATCATACCCCTTGCGATTGCTGGTGACTAAAGCCCCCTTTCGAGGCGGACAATGAGGTTGGGCCCCAGCACTGAAAGCTTCCGTGATTAATTATGATGCAAGATTAGAAGCACCCTGGAAACACTTGGATGGCTTTTCTTTTCCAGATATCGGTCGACGTTTGAACCTCTTCATGACCCCAATAATTTCGTGGCCCTGGCCGCTGCGCGAAAGTGAAGGGCTCCATTCCCTCATACATCCTCCATTCGCCGACAATTATCACTCAGATCACTGTCAAAGAGAGTGTATTTGCAGCATTGCAAAGATCAACGTGTCTTGGGATGAAGGAGTAAGAGACCTCTGGAGGGCTGTGTTACGGGATAGACATCCCGGTGGGCCCTAACGATGGCGAAGGCCAGAGTAGGGCAGAAAGATGATGTATTCTCTATAAGTAATAGCTAGCTAAAGTACCTTCCGCCCCTGGTAGCTTACGTAATAACATCCCCCCCCAAACATGCCTTTATCCTCGAAGGCTATAAAAGAAAACTTATATATTATGACTGAAAAACAAAAAAAGGAAAACTTGTATATAGGGTAATTATTAACGACTATTAGTAATAACTAAAGAAAAACTAAAAATAAAGAAAAACTAAAAATAAAGAAAAACTAAAAATAAAGAAAAACTAAAAATAAAGAAAAACTAAAAATAAAGAAAAACTAAAACTATAAGAATAATTCCTCCCCTTCCTATACTAGTATACCGAGATATATTCAGGATTTCTCTAACTCAGTAACAGGTAATAGTATATTCTTAGCCTTCTCTACTACTAAGATCTAGATTAATAATTTAGCCTTCTTAGTATTTGGCTTCTCGGTCTTTGGCTAGGTTATACTAATCCGCTTTAACTAATAAATAAGAAAGATATCTGACTATTTATTCTTATCTAAGGGCTTAACTAGTAGCTCAATTATTAGATTTCTTTTCTAAACTAGTAGAATAGTAAAGTTTTATTTATTATTAAAGAGTACTAATTATAAGATAGGCTTATTATCTAGTACTATAATCTAACTATTAATAATATCTGCCTTTTTCTTAAAAGCTTTCTTAAACTTCTTTATATCCGAATTAGTAATTATTAATAACGAATTCCCTATTATAACTAATCTTAGCCTCGAGACATGGAAATTATTTACAAGTTAAGTAATAAAGTTTTTCTTCCCGAATAACTCTAAATAAGCTTCTTAAAAGTACTAGACCTAGCCCTCTAATAAATTAACTTATACTTTAAGGTCTTTAATAATCTGGGGTATTACTATTAGTTTTTTCTTTATTAGTATTAGGAAAATAGCCATATCTTTATTAGATAATAACGGAATTATAATACTATACTTTATAATTAATAATAATATAATATAGGCCTTAGTCTTAACTACTAAGAATTACTTTCTTTCTTATTCTCTGATTTACTTTTCCTTAGTACCTAATAGGCTACTCGAGATCTTCTTAGTATTCTTATTAATCTTCTTAGTATTTTTATTAATTTTCTTAATATTTCTATTAATTTTCTTAGTATTCTTAATAACTTTCTTAGCTAGTATAAAATACCAAGCCCTATTATTATTTATATTTCTTGTATTAATAATAACCTTTAGCTATAGGTAATAATTCTTTATAAGTTAAGACTTAACTACTTTCTAATACTAATTATTACTTACTCCTATTAATAGTAATATCTTACTTAATAAATATATATTATACTATAATATAACTAATTTATTAGTAATTAGTACTAGTAGTTTAATATAGTCTCGATATATTTTTAAAGTATTTATTTTACCTCTATTTATAAAATCTGCTAGCTAGTAATATTCTTTAGCTAAGTAATACTAATTCATATAATAACTCTATTAAATAGGAAATAATATTTGAATATATTATTAATAATAATAAGTAATTAGAAGAAATTAAATATTATCCTGGTTTTCTATTATTCTAACTTATAATTACTATTAAAGTAAATATTATCTTTATTAGCGGCTACCGGAATTAGCTTACTATACTTATAGTTTTAGTATTTATAAATCTCTAATAATATCTTAGCTTTATAAATTACTATTATTTATTATTAATAATAAATTCATATTTATAAATATAGTTTATATAAATTATAATAAAGAATTTATAAAATAATCTCAGTTAGTAATAATAAATATAAATAATAAAGCTCTAAAAGTTTTGCGAATTATACTAGTTTAGCCTTACCTAATAAAAAAACTTAAGTACTATCTTTATTAAATTCTTTTCTAGCTTCTAGCTTTACTTATTATAACCTTTTTATTTTACTAAATATTACTTTTTCTATTCCCGGTACTTTATATTAAGAATTTCTTTTATCTTATAATAATTATTTCTCTTAAAATATATTAGCTAGTAAACTAGCTCTTAATTATATTTATTAGTACCCGGTATCTTTAGTTCCAAATATATTATAGAAACTACTAGATATATCTAGCTCAAGTTTACTAGTAGCCCTAACTTATATACTAACTTCCTAATTCTTTCTAGTATAAGAAAAGGCCCTTATTTTATTAGGAAAAAAACATTTACTTTAGGG